ACACACACTCAGCGATGTGTGACGACTACGAAAGGCTCACCGGATGTGGAACAAACAGAGAGTTTTAGTTCAACCTAGTACTTAGGGATCTCGCTGAGATTCTACTGGGCGTGGCTAGCTTTGAGTCTTGGACATTAGTAAGATACTCATAAGAGTGGACTAGAATAATCGCATAAAAACCAGAACAACTAGTATATCCTAATGTAAATCTCTCAATAACAGAGTATGGGTGGATGCATTTAACTCAAACTGTATGATCCGCTGAGAAGGTCTCGACCACCCGCGACAACCACCAAACTAAACAATTTCCATCCAGGGCATTGAGGAGAAGGATCTTGAATCTAAATCTTTAAATGTTTGCTTCGATATTCCCAATCTCCACTAAAGCGGAAGCAAAGCTTTTTCCCAAATCGGCTATTGACGCAAATGGCCGAGATTTGGGGCTCAGAGCTTCAATCAGTATCCTGATCTCAACGGAAATGACCTTACGAGTTCCGTGTCTAAATAGGGTTCCGTGTCCGAACGTGGAATGGTGGGATTTCCCTCTAACAAGGTTCTTTCTATGCATGTTCAGGTTGACCCCGCACTTAACCGGCACAGACACAGCATTAAGGTACCTCTGATGTAAACCGAAGTCCAGTGCTCATTTTCCAAAAAGAGGGCTCCGTGTATGTATGGTTTGAGAATGTCAATCTTGAATGTGGTATGCAGAAGACCAAATAAGTACCGTAAAGCCGATGATCGTGCAGGTCTGGTCCGTAATTAGCCAATAAGGTTCCGTTCTTGTAGTTGCCACTTCTGCCATTTTGGCCAAGAGCGAAACGGAAGCTCATGATCCGAACGCCTACTTAAGGCCTGTCGATGCCAGGTCATTCATCGCTTTGTGTCTATTTAGTTAAATACGCTGCTGCCGTCGTTGGAATCGTGAACGCAACAACCCATCCGCTCCCTGTTGTTACAATGAAGTTGCCAGCCTGCGTCAGCCTCTGGCTGCTAACTCTTCTTCACCTGGCTCTGGGTGCCGAAGTTGTCCCCAGGTCTACCTTTACTGAGGTCACCAACTATGGCGATAACCCCACTGGTACTCGAATGTGGCTATATGTTCCAAAGACGCTAGCTGCAAGTCCTGGCATAGTAGTCGGTATCCATTGGTGTACCGGTAGCGCCCAAGCATACTACCAGGGCACCCAGTGGGCTCGCAACGCCGAGACTTATGGCTTTATTGTCATTTATCCTTCGACGCCATATACCCAGGATAATTGCTGGGATGTGGCATCCAAGATGACCTTGACTCATGATGGCGGTGGCGCTAGTACGTCGATCGCCAACATGGTCAGGTTCGTTACCAAGGAATATAATACCGATAAGTCCAAGACCTTTGTTACAGGAACTTCCTCGGGAGCTATGATGACTGTATTTGACAAAAGTGTCACTCGTCAAGATTAAGCTAATACAGAAGCAGAATGTCATGGCGGCAACCTACCCTGATATTTTCGCAGCTGGAATCGCATACGCAGGTGTCCCGGCCGGTTGCTTCAAGAGCCAAGACAATATTCCAGATTTCTGGAACTCCACATGCGCCAACGGCCAGTCCATCTATACTCAAAATCAGTGGGCCAATGTTGTTAAGGACATGTATCCTGGATATGATGGGCCACGACCGAAAATGCAAATCTATCACGGGTCGGTAGATCAGATACTGAACGTGCAGAACTATTACGAAACCATTAAGCAATGGACTGGTGTATTTGGCTATTCTACCAATCCACAATCTACGACGCCGAACGTGCCACGAAGCCCGTACACCAAATACACTTTTGGCGACAAGCTACAGGTAAATATGAGTAACTCACTTTTAAGTAATACTGCTAACATGAATAACAGACATTCTTAGGCCAAGGAATTAACCATTCCATTGACGTGTTCCCGGAGGAAGACTTGAAGTGGTTTGGTTTCGTTGTGAGTCAGATCAATGTCTATATCTCTTACCTGTTCAACGCCTAACAAAGCCCTAGAATGCAGTAACGCCATCACCCACTACTACAGCCACCACACCTACAGACACGGGTAGTTCAGGTAATTCTCCCCAGTGGGGTCAATGTGGTGGCCTAGGGTGGACGGGTCCCACGCAAGTAAGCATCTATTTACTCAATAGGCGTTTTTGCTTGAATGTACTAACAGGATCGCAGTGCGCAGGTTCTTTCAAATGCATCAAGATTAACGATTGTAAGTGCTGTGTAAATATTCAGGTCTATGCATTAGCTAACATGTATACCAGGGTATTCTCAATGCCAATAGTTATTCCTTCGACACAGTCCAGAGTTAAATCCATCGCCAGTGTCAAAAATTAGGCAATTGTCTAACAGCTATCGCCAATTAGGGAAACCAGGGAACGCGATTCATAGTATCTGTAGAGTATCCTACTTGCTAGCTGAGCGATCTTCTAATTCTATTTGGTGAACTGGTCTGCCTGTAGTTGACTTCAAGTATCCCTAATACTGCCTCGACTACTCCACTTGAATCTGGCAAATATACTCGCACATGGTCAAATGCCCGTCCCTAAGTTTTGAGGTACCTCCGAGTCCTGGTATTCCGTAGCCGAATTATAGAAAATGGTGTACGCTGATGCCTTTGCGTATATCTAAGGTAGGTACCCAGCATTTAAAAGGATAACTCGGAAAACAAGCAAACTTATAATAATGTATCTCACGACCATATTTTCAAGATGCTATATCCGCATGCTAACAATAATATTTCTCTACTGAGGGGAAAGCTAACTGCTTTGCGATTTGACATAACGGTCGAGAAACTCGATCTGCGCTTTGATGTTCTGCTTAAAATAGTCGCCGACATAGAGATCAAAATGTCCACATCCATCAAGGTAAAGCAGCTGTTTTGGTTCCCGAGCTTTATTAAAAGCATCCATCTGGTATTCTGTTTTTACCAAGACGTCGTTACCGGGAACAACAAATAACAGTGGCGTTGGGGAAATTCTGTGAATCATAGCCTGACCCTCAAATAGGAGCATGTGCAGTTGGGTTTGCGAAGTGATGAAGTTCCCCCAACGGCTTCCACAATCTTTTTGAAGATTAACCACATCATAGGCGTCCTTTGTGGGAAACATGGCGTTTGTTTTGGCTGGGTCAGCAGACTCTCGATCAGCAGCAACCAGCGGTATCGTTGGGGGTTCGGATCCGGACGTGATCTGACGCCGGTCCTCCAGCAAAGTCGGAATACGATCTTTGAACGCAATTGATCTAGTCTCGCCAGAGACAGCTGGGCACTGGATGATAGCAGCCTTGATCCGCTTATCGACCGCTGCGGCGTAGATGACATTGCCACCGGAGAAGCTGGTACCCCAGTATACTATCTTGTCCTTATCAACAAAGGGAAGACTTGATGCATAATTGAATGCATCATAATAGTCTGCTTGCTGTAATGGCGGGTTGGACTCCTGTCGAGGAAGGCCATCACTATCTCCCCAATTGCGGTTGTCATATAACAACACCACGTACCCTGCGTCTTGAAAAGCCTCGGCAAATGACCGCAGCAGGAAATGGCGAGTCCCACCAAGCTAGATCAACATGACATATTAGCGATACTGTAACCTGAAAATGCGACATAAGACTGGAAGCTTGAGAATACTGACACCGTGGGTCATCATGATACATGGCGAAGTCTCCTCTTGGGCGTATAGAAAGCCACGAAGTACGATGCCATCACACGCTCGAAATTCGACGTCTTGCCGTGGGAGTCCCATATTTGTAATCACTTGTGGTATGCGTGTTGAGAACGTGAATGGAGGAGAAGATGAGCAAGTTTAGACGATACAGGCGGCAAGTAGGCTATACTTGGTCGACTGCAGACCACACTCACCGTCATATAGTCATTGAATATACGGAATGGCTTGATGCATGGCATTCGACAAAAACCTAAAGTTTCTAAAACGCAGCTCCAGAAAGGTACACCTTTCTCAACACTGGAACGGATAATTATGCCGGATTGATAATCCAAAAGTCCTCTTACTATGTATTAACAACCCGTGCCGGCCTCGATTTGTTAAATAACCCGATGATTACTATTCTGTGCCGTCTTGGATGAGATCACGTTAGCCGTCGGCCATCCCACGTACGTTATCCACTTAAAGACACCTCGCAAAAGGTTTCCGGATAATAGTTCACGGAATCCTTCGTGCCGAATATTTAGCGCTAACTTCTACCCCGGCCGGCAGTTTTGTGTTCAGAGAGATGAACTCGGCAGTTGCGGGGCGAGTGTAGGGTCCTCCAGTTCTCCGTATATTGTTGGGGGAGGTCTATAATGACAAATCCACCTCGTCTATTCCATGACCCCGGGATGCAAATCAATGGCTTATTATCGCTGTGTTACAGGTGCCTTACTCAACCCCGTTGAAGTCACTGCATAGACAACTTAGACGATTGAGAACTTGGGGATATCACTAAAAGTATCGGGCCCGGACCAAGAGAGAGTGGAGATGCCGAGGCTTGAAGGTGGATCTCATCAGCTGGTCCACTTATTCTACATAGCGTAGAACCATGTGTCTCTAATAGCGACGCTGACTAGTGACGCTGACTAGCGATCACCATGTCGCTCGGAAGGTTGGTCCAGTTAAGACATGCACCCTAAGCCTACTTTTAGATCGGGCCTCAGGCCAAGCACAACTCGAAGCCTGTCATGGCCGATTGATTGTCTAGCTCGCTGGGTTGGATCACCTGCACCAAAGACAACTGATAGCATAGGTTTAATAATCAAAAAGCGAGTCGTTACTCCCCTCTACTCAAGACGAGGCGGAAAAGGCGGCAACACGTCGGATATTAACCCCATGACATCGGTGTAACTTAGATAGCTGAAAGCCCAATTGATCGGTGCCGTAGTCCTAATAAACTCAAAGGCACCTCTATACTTAGAGAGCATCCATTTTCTACGTATCTTGAGATCATTTAATCTTGAAAACACCAAAGACCTACATCCTACGCTTCACAATGACTACCATGAAAGCAGTTGGCGTTGTCGAATACGGCCCTGTCGATAACCTTGAGTCACGTAACGTTGCGCGGCCAGGTGAACCGACTGGCCGTGATGTTCTGGTCAAGTGAGTTGCCCATGGTAAAGGCCTTACCGTCTGGGTCTAACCAGAACTTCAGAGTCCAGGCGTGCTCTATCAATCCCATCGATATCAAAATAAGATCTGGAAAATATGATGATGCTCCAGGTAAATTCATTCCAGAGCTTCACACCCTGTGTTTTGGATTGTATACTAAATAAGGGAAAGACTACTACAAGCACGCGCCGAAGGGCTTCCATATCATTGGATATGACGGTGCTGGAGCGATCTTAGAGGTTGGCCCTGAGTGCAAGTTTTTCAAGCCCGGTGACGAAGTTTCATACGTTGGTGCTACAACGCGTCAAGGTAGCTACTCAGAGTACCAGCTCGTCGGCGAATTCTCATGCACTTTGAAGCCCAAGTCGCTGGACTTTGTCCAGGCTGCAAGCTTTGGGTTGACCTTTGGGACGGCTTACCAGTCTCTGTACCACCGGCTGGAGATCAAACCCAATGAGAACGTGGGCATTCTGATCGTGAGTTGGATTTCTTCCTGATCACCCCGTGTGTCATCTTTCACCCTGACCGACCGACTGACTACGCACTGATATAGATCAATGGTGCTGGAGGAGTTGGAAGTGCTGCTATCCAGCTGGCACGCAATGTCTTGAATCTACCCGTAGTGGTTGCTACTGCGTCTCGGCCGGAAACCATAGACTTTTGCAAGAAGAACGGCGCCACACATGTTATCAACCACCGAAAAGATCTTGTGGAGCAAATCAAGGATCTGAGCTTGAGCGTTCCAATCAAGTATGTCATTCTCCACTGGGTTATTAAGTTTGAATACAGCTTATTCAACCGAATAGGTATGCCTACATCTTGGCCAACACTGAGCAGTATATCGACGCTATTGCCAAGATTTGCATGCCTTTTGGCAAGGCTTGCACTATTGTCCAGGCTGATGTCAGTCTTTATGGGACTGAATTTATGTCAAAATCAATTACCTTCGCATGGGATTGGCTAGGCTCAGCTGCCTACCATAATACAAATCTCGAGAGTTATCGTGAAATCTTTGGTACTATAGCGCGTCTGATGGATAAAAAAAAGCTGGTTCCTACCCTGGGTAAGCGGTACAAGTTGACGCTTGCTGGACTGAAGGAAGCCCATAGACAGGTCGAGTCTAAAACGACAATAGGCAAGGTTGGCCTGGGGATCAATGAGCCCGGAGAAGGGGCTCCCTTCGTTTGATATAAACATTAGGCCGCAGATGGACTCCAAGCCCGGTTAGATAACATTTAAGTCATTATTTCTCTAGTGCTTATGCTTGCTGGAATAAGCGTTGTATCAGAACTTTAGTTTATGGCTGTCTTTATTTGATATCGCGCACTTCATCACTGTCGCTATGCTGTGTTGCGTTGTCATCTAAGAGATCCATTGCTCGACTAAAACTGAACGAAGATACTGAGAGTTATTGAATAACTCTTTAGAACCAGATCAGTCTCACCCATACACTCCCGTGCACTCCTATAATGGGATCCTATTATATCAATTAATCTCTTCACCAACCTAAAATGACAATTCATGGTCAGCTACAATTACGCCTAAAAACATGCAAGTCATATCTAGGGAAACGGAATGGCCCTATGGTCAATGCATGAACTATTTTATTCTTATTTCTCAAGAGGAAATGATGTTCCCCATTTTTGATCAAGTCTGAAGCCGTGCATCAAGCACGGTGCAAACCATGACTTCGTAGACCAACTAAGGATGGACTCTCCTTTCGTGCCGCTTTGCTTCACGTTCTAAGCTCAGGGAAAGGCAAACAAACGCCTAATACTTGATGATTAATCCAAATGACCAGAGTCGGCCAAGTTTACTAATCCAGAGAAGCCGTACCAATCGTCACGAACCTGAAGACACGTATACGTGGCACATATGTCTACACAGAGTTTACAAGGGTGGAGCGGATGATCATAAGCCTCGGCACTTCCAGAATTCTCCACAAGCTCGCCATGCATAAATGGGTTCAGCCATACGATAATGACTTGGACGCTCATATCCGACATACGATTATCAAAGGATCTCAAGTGTACAAACTGCCCTTAGTTATTCAATATCTTTACCGTCCCAACCTGATCCTGATACATACGCCTCGAAGTGCACAATGCCTCGAGTTGTCAGTCACATCTCCGGTGCGCAGTGGGAGAAGGATGAACCACAGTCACCGGCCCAAAGGTTCTTCAAGGAATACGCCAATGCCGTTGACTCAAGGGGCTACGATAGCGGTTCCGGTCTCAAGTTCTATTCCAAAGATGTTATCTTCCATAACCAGAATAATGCCGTTTACTACGGAGGAGATGAAATGTGGGCATGGATGAAGAAGCTTTTTGAGGTGTTTGAACGTATTCATCACGACTCAATCCATTACCTGGAGATTGAGCGCGATGATGGGACCAGCCAGATCTACAGCCAGAATATTCGAAACCTTTGGCTCCGCGGAAATAAAGGAAGCAAACCGACTGTTAGCATTCCCCTCACGATGATTGCTATCATTGGGAAGAGTGGAAGCGATGAGACTCCTGAGGGGCTGCATTTCAAAGAGGTCTGGCTCTACTGGGACACGGCCCTTCTTCTGCCTTATCTCCCCAAGGAAGCTGTAGTTTTCAAAACGGAGAATATCTTGCACGAGGAGAAGGACGAGGTTTAGGGGCAGCGATTCAACTATAGTTCTATATCTCAATACAGCGCTTTTCATATTATTATGCTGCTATTGTGTTGAAATTGAACTCATGCCATGGGCCAATATCTGAATGCTCCTTATATTTCGTTTGCTCTAACTGCCACGAACTCAGTTCCATGCCAACAAAACTAACTACCCTAATGATAGTTATTTTTTCCATGTCGTAATACTTTCTGCAAAGTTTACGATATCGTCTAAAAGACGATCTGCATAGTTAAGGATGAGCACTATATAATACTGGTTAACGATGCTCAATCTTGCGTTGAACATGCTAACTTACCATGTCCTCCTTCGTCATATATAGTCAGCTTTGCTCCAGAAACCGCCTTCTGGACAAGTTCTGCGCTTACTTCAGGAGGCACGGCTCCGTCGCCTCCCCCGTGAATAAGGAGAAAAGGCTTCTGAAAGTCTTGCCCGAACTGCTTTATCTGCACAGACAGGTCTTCTCGAGAATAGATTTGTATGCAGCGTTCAAGCGCAAATGGATCATTCTCCCAGAAGATATTCTCGAAAAATGCAACCTGCTTCTCGGGGACCGAACCGGATGATCCAACCCCAAAAGGCCCCTTGAAGCCGTTGGCGAGGAAGTGAGGTCTATCTTGCCTTATGGCCATGATAGCGTCGTCCCATACGCTTTGTGGCGGAGCCTTTGGGTTTTGGGGTGATGCTGTAGGATACGGCAGGCAGGTGCTTATCCACAACATACCCTAATACATTAATCAGATGTTGACTCTATGAAGCTGGCCTGTCACATAACTGACCTGGCAGTTTTCCTGTACATAGGAGCTGCTTAGATACGCCATCAGGGCTTCGCCCGTGCTCATGCTGGTAGCGACAAAGACAAAAGGCCCTGGCTGGATTCTCTCCAACAGACCGGATAAGTCTTGCGCAAGCTCTTTATAGCCAATGGGAGTCGTAGGATCATGCCCAGACCACTCGCTCTTACCAAAACCTCGCCTATCGGGGGCGATAACACGGTATCCGTGGGTCTCGCAAAGTGGCAGCAGGATCGGGTCGTACATACGAGATGAGAGAGGCCACTGGTGTAGAAGGACCAGAGTTAGGCTCTTGGCTACCAGAGGCAGTTCTGTTGCAAGCGCTGGAGGTCTACCTTCTGGCGCATAGTAACGGTAAAACAGTTCTGCGCCATCAACGGAGCTAGAGTATCGAGGCATCTTGATTACACAAGAGTTAAACAAAGACTGATGATATGGATGGAATGTGCAGTACAGATTCGTTGCGCTCTGAAACCCCGATCAAATATAGATTCATCAACCAGAGCATGGATTTGTAACGCGCCAAAACTGATGCGGCATTGGAACTCGGAGAATTAAGTAACTGTGTTACTACTACATAAGTCTGATTACTATTCAGCGTTACTTGTTCACTTACTAATTCCTCCGTCCCCCGCTTTTCCAGATATAAGAATAATGTTGCGGTAAAGGAAAGTGGAGCCCATTGCCAGCCGGCAGTCTAACAGGTCTATGTCACAGAAACTTTATTGCTAGTTAGCGCCTTCAGAAACCAAGAACTGGGAGGACTCACGTCGACCGAGTGTCTGTTTTGATTCATCCAGAATCGACAGGATATTAGGGCTATAGGAAGAATATAACTTCAGTCAAAGGAGGTGAGCATGATGGAGAAGATAATGAACATATGGTCATCAAGCCTATATTATCATGCTATTCTATTATGTCAGGGTTAGATCATTCTCGTAGTGGAGTATCTGATCTGGAGTGTTTACCCTCCTGCTAGTGCAGCGAAACCCCGACTCTATACTCAGTTGTGGATCAGACCTCGGCTCCTTGCGATTACGAACTGTACACGTCGCCTGTTGTACTAGGATCTATTTCTCAGCAGTATGCTGACAAATAGCTAAAAGCTTAGAACACTCGTCTATTAAATCTCCCTTGTCATGGAAGTAAGGTGATTCAGTCCCCTCAGCATCATTTGTGACAAAGCCAATACACAAGACCGCCCTTCACAAATCACCTTGTTTCAATATGGGTTTACAGTACAAAGTCTTTTTCAGTAAACGCAATTCGGCCACTAGGACTGGCCCAGCGGGTCATGATCACCTGAAGTGGGTGCCTACTTCTTCCACCCTGATATACGGCGACCAAGATGCTGTTTTGGTTGACGCCCAGTTGACTTCCAGGGCGTCAAACGAACTATTAAACTGGGTAGTTGAGAGTGGCAAAAATATTACCCATATCTATGTCACACATGCCCACGGCGACCACTTCTTTGGTAGCGCGCCCATTTTGGAACGATTTCCCAAAGCAACCTTGGTCGCAACGCCTGAAATCGTGGCCAAGATGAAGCTAGAGACTGCACCAGAACGGATGACTGGGCTTTGGGAAAAGCTATTTCCGGGCCAAATTCCGCCCAATTTGCGGCTTGCGGAGCCCCTTCGTCAAGACTATCTTGAACTAGAAGGTGAAAGGTTGGAGGTGGTCAGGACGGGTCACACGGATACTGACGATACGACAACTCTCTGGGTTCCCTCTCTTCGACTTGCCGTGACTGGCGATGCTGTATACGCAAACACTCACCCATATTTGGGAGAGTCTGGAACAGCTATCAAACGGAGTGAGTGGATTAAAGCACTGGATATCATCGCCGCACTCCAGCCAAAGCATGTCGTGGGCGGACATAGTGATCCGAGCCGTCCATTTGGGTTCGAGGCAATTAGGGATACCAAGACATATTTGGAGGACTTTGAGAAACTGAGCGCTGAGACGGAGACAGCCAAAGAGCTTTATGACCGCATGATGGATATTTATCCGGACCGCCTTAATCCGGGGTCTCTATGGGCAGGGGCTATTCTGGTCCATCAGTCGTAGAATAAGATAAACCCGATATATGACAATAAATCTGTTACGAGAAGTCAAAGCGGCTCAAGAATGGTATCATCATGGCAATAGTGTAAAGCTTTACGATTGCTGATAGCACGTCTACCAATACCTCATCGCGACGAATTGTCGATGCTGCGGATACACAATCGCTAGGGAGAAAATCACGAGCAAGGCAGAGCAGTTGTATTTGGCCTCAGGAGAACCATGTCCGAGTAAGTTGGAACTATCCTGTAAAAGTCACAGTCTGCTAGTATTTAATGATAAAGACTGTTACCGCAATTACAATTGATCATCTTTCTAATTTGACGCTGTCAAATCTTTCCACGCTGGCCGGTTGCTGACACGAGTCCACCATGCGCCTAATGACGGTCTTTTTGTGATCTCATCCTGCAACTCCAGACGCGACAGAAATTGAAACCAAGGGATATGGTATATATCAACCAGCGAAAATTGCTGAAAACATTTAACAAGGATTCTATTCGGAAGACGAAGATAACTCACATTTCCGGCAAGGTGCTCGCTATCATAAAGAACCTTTTCATAGTGGTCCATGACCTTGGCCAAGTCCATTTCTAGTCGCTTAACTGTAGCCCTGTCTGGATCGCCTCGCCCCATAAACCTGTCCGTGTGAGTGCGATGCATTGTACGAAAGAGTTTTAAAGACTCAAGTACCTTTTGAAGATTTTCTCATATGCCAAAGATTTCATGGTTGGATCGAAGTAAGAATATTCCACACTTGCAGCTTGCTCGTAAGTCGCCAGCTCCGCGTAGTCTTGTTCCGTTCGTCTATGCAAAGGGCTATGTGGTCCGTACTTTGCGACCAAGTACTTGCAAATCGCCCTTGACTCAAATAATCGAATCCCGTCATCGTCGAGAACCGGAATTCGTCCGAACGGGTGGAAGTCTTGCACATAATTGGGTTCCTAAAGAGGATAAGTAACGGCATAATCAATGGATATATGGCTTCCTACGAGATGCTCCCCTTTCTGCATGTTAATGTTGGATAGTCGGTAATCAGTCATATTTAGTTCTGAAAGGACCAGCAACACTCGTTGAGTGCATGTTGATTGCCGCGATCCATATAGGATAAGAGTCATCTTGGTAGTAGCTATTCACTGTACTATAAATCAGTGCCGTAGGAGTGCCTTGCGAAGTTCGCTTTCGGAAATGAAGAAAACTAGTAGTAATTATTATATCTAGGAATCAAGATCGCATTTTAAAGATAAAGATTCTAGGCTATATAGTAGATGGACCTTGGCATAGGAAAGTGTGGAGGAGCGGTGGAGTATTCGGGATGTGGAGTCGGCGAAACCAGAGGCGGAGGCGATAACTCGCACGGCACGGCACAGCACGGCATATTGCAATGCCCGCTACGGGCCGTCCGTCTTTGGGATAAAAGAGACGTGACCAGTATTATCGACTCTGGAATAACCATCAGCCAAACAACTAGGTGCAGCTTCAATATCTCTCAGCTTTAAGAAACAGCCCAAAAATGCCTTCCGAGGATGTCTATTCCAATCGTAACGTACCGAGCCAATTCGATGATACAATTCCAGTCACCCAGAGTCAGAGGACTTTGTTTGAATTCGGGACGTTCGATCATTCCGAGATTCCACTAGAGCCAGAAGAATGGCCTGTTATTATCATCGGATCAAGTATGGTAGGAATGACTTTGGGCGTGCTGTTAGGATACCATGGGTAAGACTCTACCACTCAACTCACATACCAACCTTGCTGACTCTTTCCAGTATCAACTCGGTATCCTTCGACCGCCATCCTTCCACTGCTATACACCCCCGCGCAGCCTTATTCCTTCTGCGCTCTGTCGAGATCTTCCGCCAGCTAGGCCTTGAAGACGAACTCCGCTCAGAAAGCGCCTCAAACTTTGATCTTGACGCTGGAATGATCATTGTTGAGAAGCTAGTAGGAGGAAAGGTCCTGGAAAGTATGCAAGAAAGTGATCCAGCAGAAGTTGCCAAGGCTAGCCCGAGTCGTCGCTTATGGCTTACCCAGAATATGTTTGAGCCGCTTCTGCGCAAAAGGGCAAAGGAATTTGGTGCCACTCAGGAGTTTAACGAGACCGTTGTCCATTATGAAGAGCTATCGGACGGTGTACTCGTCGTGGTGCAAAACGTTCAATCGAAGGCTTACAGGAAATTCAAGACCAAGTACTTAGTTTCTTGCGATGGAAATAGGAGTGCGACAAGGAGAAAAGAGGGTATCGAATGGCAAGGCCCCGGGGTCCTCGGCGAGAGTATTTCTATCAACTTCAAAGCCGATCTGACGCCATACCTCGGAACTCGTGCTAAGCATGGGGTCACTTATATTTCTAACCCTGCTATCGATGCTGGCTTTCGCCTCGAAAGCGGGGGCAAGGCTGGATTTATGATTGTCACACGAGCAGGCGATAAAAGATCCTTTTCGCCAGACTCAGTTTCCGAACGAGATGCGAAGCAATATTTCAAGGAGGCGAGCGGCATTGAGGACGATATTGATATCAAGGTCGACTCTATTTCGTACTGGTCAGTAGCTGCCTTCAACGCCGAACGCTTCATGAGCGAAAATGGCCGTGTCTTTATTGCGGGGGACGCAGCACATGTAATGCCCCCAACTGGTGGAATGGGCGGTAACACCGGGATACAGGTAATTGATCTCGGCCTCATAACAAAACTTTCAAGCAAGCTGACCTACTTAGGATGTTCACAACCTGGCATGGAAGCTTGCATATGTTCTGCGGGGAAAAGCTAGCGCTTTGCTTCTTCAGACCTATGACACTGAGCGACGGCCAGTAGCTGAGTTCACGATGCGCCAGGCTTATTCAAGGCTTCAGAAGCGAGTCTTTCGCACAGTCCCGGATGAACCAGAACTTCCCGACATTGTGTGTGAGATAGGGTATCGTTACCCTTTTGTTGCTACTGCAAACATCCAAAACACCAACAGCGACAAGTACGAAGACCCGCATGCACCACTCGTATCGTCAGGGAGCCGGCTCCCACATGTGTTACTTGCACGAGACAGTTCACAAATATCGACCTTGGACTTAATTCAAACAAATTTCGTTCTTTTCGCCACTGGTCAATCATCACCATGGATTGAAGCGGCCAAAGGTATTACACCTAAGATAGACTCTTACGGTATCGATAAACACACTGGTACCTTTAGGGATCCTGACGGCACGTTCAGTCGTATTTGTAGGCTCTCTGAAGGCGAGGCTTTCCTTGTCCGGCCCGATGGATTTATTGCCTGGCGAGGGGAATGGGCAAAGGATGGGCATAGAGATAAACTACAGAAGGCATTAAAGCTTATTTTATATTTCACTAAAACTTAATAAAGATAAGCAATAGAACTTATCTATTTGCTTTAGAGTTCTCTTTAGAGTTCCTTTTAGTATCTCTTATATTAGATCTTAAGTTTTACTTTATGTATTATATATTTCTTAGCAGGTTACTTATAGTAATAATAATTTTAAAAGCCTTAATTTAATCTATTGCTAATAGAAATAATGATATAAGTTTTTTATTAAGAGCCTTCTATAGTGTATTGATATATTAAATATAGGTCATTATCTTAAGGACTTATACTAATAATATCCTGGTGATTAAAAGCTAGAGGTAGGAAAAGACAAACTCAACAGCAGCACATTACAAACTAACATAGGGCTTTACATAGCTAACCGTCGTTGTTTTACTTGTAGCTTATACTCTGCCCGACGTAGCGCATAAGATTCATCTTATAATGCGACTCTGCATGTCTCAAGCGACCGTGTTCTGTTCTTAGTCTTTCCACCTTGGCAACAATATATTGCTGCCATGAATGTATAGAGATAGGTATCTTGTGTACAGCCATCTCATTCAGTACCATAGCGAAGACTTTCATAGAGGAGTCTGGACCGGCCGGTACCTGTTCTTCTCTTGCCCCGGCAGCAAGCGTCTCATTGATTCCACGGAACTCAGATTCGTTTGTCTTTAAGTCAGCTGCATTAGCCATTTCAATGGGCGTTTGCTTCCCCGCTTCGATGCCTTTAGTCGCACTTAACGCGTCACAACAATCAAGCACATGAACAACATCGCAATTTGCAACGTTCAGTGTGTGCGTGATCTTGGTCCAGTTGACACTCTGGCCGCCACTCCTATGTCCGCTATAAATAATATACATTAGAAAAGAAACAAGCGGCGGTTCAAAGTTCTCATCCACTTACGAAATAATCATTCCCTCGTCTGCCTACCCTATTGGCCCGATTGTCTCATGGCCAGAATACATACTTTCATTCACCGTCCCTTATCAGTTAACAAGTCAACGTGGGTCCAGTTTCATCAACTGTGAGGCTAGCTATAATGTTGTTACTGTTGAAATCAATATGCTCTTTTCAATTTTGAGTAACCGCTACTTCAAAACTAGTTTGATAAACTTACTCTACCCGCAGCAAGAGCAACAAACGCTCTATCTAATAGCATACTATCCATCTTCTCTAGTATATTTGCCTCAGCGATTCTGCGACGTGCTTTAACTTCCCAATCATTCAACACCTTAGATACTCCATGAGGTCCAAAGCCATAGCAGCGCCCAGATTCTGAAGAGGTCCATGGCTGCTCCACGTTGATGAACTTGGTCCAGATGTCACGCATAGCCTGACCAGTCAACTCTGAGCCACGCGAGAAGCTCAGATCGAAGCCTCCGAACAGTAAGATGAGATCTACTGCATGATGGGCTCCACTCGACGGTTGCCAGGGATTAGCCTCGTCTATCAAGTACCTAAAGATCGGAATCTGAGCATCGCGCCTGAAGAATTTCTCAAGACGCTGTATCGGCAGTAAGAATTTATAGTCATTGATAAAGTCTATGGCGCCATTGTAACAGGATGACGGCCTATCCATATAGATATGGTATGCCTTCTTGAGCTCATCACTATGTTCTCCTGCAGCATCAAATGCCGCGAGGATCTCGTTTGGGCTTAAAAGACGCACACCTGTTTGCCAGATAACTGCCTGTATAGTTGTTATTGAACACTCTCATGATGGAATGGAGTCCCTATTCACTCACCTCCTTATTCACGTCGCCTAGCATGATGCGCTTGGACTCAAGGCTGCTATTTTGCCAGTCCTCAAATTGTTCTTCCCATTCAAGGCAGAAAGACTGTAGGCCGCTATGTCTGACTGCCTTGGTGATCTCATCTACTGATGCAGTATCTAAGTCAAGGAGCGGATTGATAGCTTTAACTTGCTTTAGAACTGCGTCACGCAGAGTCTGGACTGACTTGGGTGACTGAGGTGGCGAAAGGTATAAGGTCCCAGATGAAAGGATGTATTGCTGGACAGGGGCATTTCGCGTGAGATGAGCGTGACAGTACACTGCTCCAGCACTTTCGCCGGCCAAAGTCACTCGAGTCTAGGGGTCTCTATCAGTGAAATGATCTTCAAAGCGTGAATGTCAGGTTGATCAATACCGGGTCGCCCTTGAAGCCAGAAATATGTTCCTGAATCCATTGAAGTGCCAGTGCCTGGTCTCGTAGAGCTAAGTTCACTGGCCCCTCTCCGTTTCCCTTTCCGAGTGCAAATATATTCAGTCTGTATTGGACAGTGACAGAGATGATAGGTTTACGTTGACGAACTGAATCGGCAACAATTGTTGTCATATCTGTCAGAGAAAGAAACGCATAAGACTCTTAGCAGTTGTCGCAAGATGGCAAGGGGTATTTATCGGTTAAGTCTCACCACAAATTCCAGAAGCAGCAGTTCCAAAGCTCACGGCTTGTGAACCTCCTGTATATCATTATTAGTGGAAAGGCTACACTATGCTAATAATATGGTTCGGGACTTGCATACCGTGGATCCACACCAGAACTGGCAGTTTGTCTAAGCTTGATAGAGAATCAAGCTTGGGCAGCGTTACGTCGAGGTTAGTGCACTCAAATTCGTCCTCCGGCTCGACGGGAAGTTTGTGATGAGGCGGAATGCGTAGTAAGTGGCCTACATCAGCTTGGATCTGAGGACAACGAGGGCTACGATAGTGAGCGATAGCTAGTTACTCTCCGGATACGAACTTACCCAAATTTGGTGCAATCAAGGTGTCCTGGAAGCTGATCTAGCTTCTTAGCTTCTTCAAAACGGCGCGGTATGTAGCCGTAAGGAATACCACGAAACTGCGCTATCCCAGAGACCTCAGTTCCGCTCAGGGTTGTTCTAAGAGACTCGTGACAAAGAGTGATAGACATTGTGAAATGGTAGTGAAGGGAGAAATCGTAGTTCGGGTTTGGTGCTGGAGTAAGCTTCAAGTGGTGTAGTATGAATTGAGTGGATAAGAGACCTCAAAATAAGACAAACTTGGGATACGCTGCTATATATCCTTAGGTCAGAAGGGTTCTTTTGTCTCCACTTAATTGTCACCGTACAATGCAATGTGGGGTAATGCTCTCGTGAGTAATAGTTTGAAGGTTTCCTTTCTCAACGTACACTGAATATGGATGTCGTTAAGGGCTTCAATTGCAAAAACGATTTAATGCATTGAATTGGTGATGAACCTTATGCTAACCCCACATATTGACTCCTTAAGCTGCGAATACGAATGAGGTCCATGCATTCAACAAAGAATCCATGTCAATCAATGCGGCGATCTTAACTAACTCTCTATACCTCTCGGAGAACGCGCGGTCGCCCTTGACTGACTGTTGGCGGCCATCCTTTAAAATCGATGTTCCTTGGACTGTTGATAGTGGCTCCCATGGCTTTTTCCCACAGGCGAAGGTGATAACATCTGTGGCAAACCGTACCGCGGATGCTTGTTGCGTCTCGTTGAGATGGTCGTTGAAATTCTGGAAGAGAAATGCAACGTCTAGAATATGTGTACTGCGTCCTTTGAACGGGCCATCCCAAGGGTTCGGTTCGGAAAATTGCATCAGGAACACGTCCCCGGGTAGTCTCTTAGCAAGCACTCGAGCGGCAGCTTCATTGCCAATGTCTGATCCGAATTCCAACACACGAAGTAAGACATCCTGGTTCTCTAGATCTGGTGAGATACCATAAAGTTTCAAAAGCTGTTCGGCAGTATCATTGTCTTTCCCAAACTTGGTGCGAAGATGAGTTGCGAACTCGTCCGCGACAGACTTCCTATGAGAGAATAGGCCCATAAATGCGAATATGCTGGCCTAAAATAGATCAGCATGAACAAAATTCCCAGGAAAGAGTATAGTGGGTCGCTTGCTTACATCTAATGGAGAGTAGACAATCATGGCGCCTTCAAATTGCTTCGCCTTGAAAGTATAATCTCCCGAGGCTATGAGCTCGAATGACTCACGATAGGGCACGAGATCATTGTCAAATACTGGGAGCAGAGGTAGGCCTCGGATCTGAGAATGTTGAGCCCATGTAGATGAATTCTCAAGAGATTCCAGACGCTCAGTGGTGGACAGTTTATCCAGGCTCCAGGCTTCTATGATTGACTTATACGCAATCTCAGTCACCTCATATGTTAGCGGTGGGACAGAGGGCGGAGAACCACCCATGACAACAATTCGAGAGGCTAGAGCCTTCTCAGTATACATGAGGCGTACGGCTGATACTAAACGTTGCAATTAGATAAGGTCACACAAGCGAATTGTTACTCACGTCCTCCGACACTTTCACCGGCAACAGTCACTTGACTAGGATCACCACCGAATCCTGCGATGTACTTTTGCACCCACTGCAACGCAACTATCTGATCATGCAAGCCGCGATTGGGCTTGTATCCAGCCATACGAAGCTCTTCGGAAGTCATGAAGCCTGGAGCCCCAAGCCGGTAGCTAGGGCGTCTTGGTTAGCAATGCGCCTCTTATGATAAACTGGGAGTTGGAGAAAAGCTTAGTACTCGCTTTATATTGATACCAATTATTGGTGTGCCTAAATGAACGGAAAGCTGCACAATGCGCTTCATGTCAAACTGTGGCCACCAGTTTGCTCCCACAGAGAAGCCACCTCCATGTATATAAACCAGGACTGGGATGCCATTGGAACTTCTTGCACCAGCTGGAACTACAACGTTCAAGTTCAGGCACTCGGTTCCGGAAATACCCGGATATTCAGGCTTTTCTATCCTTTTCTGGATAGCATCCAACTCATGGTCCACTGCTTCGGGCAGGGATATCGTCTGCTGCCTGTACTCATGTATAATTGAGTTTTTTTCCTGTTGGTAAGGCGAATGAGACACTGGCGCCGGGGAACTTACCCAAGTCGGTCGCAAACAATACCCGTGCCATCATAGGAACATAGTGCAGGGTTGTCGAACCAGTGACGAAGAGACGCGTACTTGATCCCGAGAAATTGTACAACATCATTCGTTTTTATTCCCCTGATAGTACCAATGGTCCGATGGTCAAAATTAGCATACTGAATAGTGGCCTCGGACATATTTCAGACTCAATAGGTTGCTAGAAAGTTTTTAGTGCGTGTAGCGTGGTAAGTCAGGGTTGAGAAAAGATTTTCAACGTGGTGAATCATGATGATGTTAGATATCTTTATGGATCCAACCTCTTAAAGGGAACTTGCCCTTCCCCAAGTTTGGTTATCTCAATATGTACTTGTTATCAACTACCCCGCAGCTGGTCGATGATGCTAACTACCTGCCCCGTTCTAATTCTAATACCTAGTATTCTAGAGAAGTGTCCTTTGTAATATAGTACAAGAGCGTATATGAAAGAGCCTAGCATGTCGTTTACTAGATCTCGTGTCTTGATATTAAAAATACTCCTAGTGTTAAGTGAGAAAAAAGTAGCTAGCTTAGAAAGATGTTTCATATGCCGAAATTATGAGAAGGTAGGAATGCTGAGGAGAAGAATAATTACCCCACATTGATTTGGCTGGAAGCTGCTGTGTAAAATGGTGTCTCCAGACCAAAGAATCCGCGTAATTGATCAAACCTTCATCCACTTTACTACGTTACACCCACTGTTATTAACCACCATTAAGTTAACATCATGTTGAACTCTCGACGTCAGGTGATTCAGCACGCCAATGGACAGACCACTGCGTATATTTATGACTCATTTACCGATCCTTGGAGGCCACGAGAGACCATCCTCATCCAACACGGATTCGCACGGACAGCCGAGCACTTTTACCACTGGGTGCCAGCCCTTTCACGCCATTACAACATTATTCGACGAGAGCTTAGAGGCCACGGGGGCTCAAGCTACCCAAAAGGCAATGAGCGATCTGACTATCAGTATTCTGTCAACACGATTATGGACGAGATCAAGGACACACTCGATCAGATAGGTATTGAGAAAGTCCATTTTATAGGAGAATCGACCAGTGGGATGCTGGCAGAGATCTTTGCCGCGACGTACCCTGAGCGAGTCAGCTCTGTCGTAGTGTGCTCGTCACCTACATCCTTGCCACCAGAGGCGCAAAAGTTCTTGGCCTTTGGGATGGAGTCCTGGCCAGAAGCATGCCGTCAGCTGGGATCGCGAGGATGGGCGACACGTCTGACGGCAACTAGTGGGACAGTAGGTAGCAGTGATGCAGCGTACCTCGAGTGGTGGACTGACAGGGTCGCTGTCAGCGATGGCGAAGGCCTTGCTGGCTATGCCGAGTTCTTGAGTAGCCTTGATGCTTGGCCATATCTCAAGCGCATTGAGGCACCCATGCTGGTTCTGGCTCCAACTAAAAGCGCTCTGGTAACAGTCAAGTCGATGGAGGATCTCGTTGCTGAGGTGCCGAATGCTAGATTGGAAGTGGTGGAATCTGAAGGTCATGAGATTTATGCTGAGGCTGAGGAACAATGCTTGAGTAAAATCATTAGTTTCCTGGAAGGTATCGAAGGATTATAAAAATTGCTTGTGTTAAGTTTCCGCGACTCCGACTCTCAGTTCAGCCGATGACACGACGATTCGAATTACACTTGACAACTCAAAAGTCCAAGTGATTAAATTGTCACAACAGAGCAGTCAGAACAATAATGCTTTGCTGTTTAATTGCGCATCCACTCAATTATGCATCTTTTCATTCCGTCGTTCTCTTCTATAGGCTGCGCCACCTTCGGTCACAGATCCTGCTTGGCCTGCTCACCGCTCCATGCACGTCTCAACACCTCGCGAAGAGCGTCTCGCTCAAGTGGCCGCGGGTTTCGATACGGATTTGAGACAGCAACGTCAGCGGCCTTATCAATGCTTTCCTCCTGCATTCCCAACACCTTCAGACTCATGTCTATACCCAGACGGCGATAAAGGGCGTTGATACCTCGGACGGCATCTCCTTGACTCTCGGGTAGCACTGCAGCAAGCTGGCTCATAGCCTCTGGATCACTTGGTGCGTTAAAAGCCAGGGCATGCGGTAGCACGACCACATGCGTCTCGGCGTGCGGCAGGTTGAATGAACCACCAAGGGTATGGCATAGCTTATGATGGAGTGCCATGTCAACGGCCCCTAGACAAAGGCCACATAGCCATGCACCGTACAAGGCTTTGTACCTTGATTCATTGTTTTGGGGGTCAGTCTGCAGGATGGGAAGAGCCTCGCTTAGCGATCTGATGCCCTCGCATGCCATGACATTAATGATCGGGTTGGTATTGCTGGCGTAGAGCGCCTCAACTAAAGGCAGTCAGCAACTTAGAGATCTCGAATCCTCATAAATTAAAGGAAGGATAAAACACTTACCAGAATGTGCAATTGCATTTATGCCGCTGTTCACACTCATCTTGACAGGAAGGGTCAATGTAAGGTCCACATCGTAGACGACAGCGGTCGGTAGAATTTTGGAGTCTCGCCTTGTGACCTTGCGTCCATTCTCTGTCTCACCCAGAATCGGAGTCATCTCACTACCTGCATAAGTGGTGGGGACGCAAACATGTACGAGGCCGGTCCGAACACAGATAGCTTTGCCTAATCCGATAGTGCTTCCGCCGCCTACCGAGACCACACAGTCAATGCTTGCTTCATTTGCCTGGCGAAGAGCAGATTCGGTGACTTGTACTGGGGTATGCATCACAGCGCCGGTAAAGATCGACACTGCGACGTCACCCAGGATATCGGCCACGCGTTTGACAATGTCGGCCTGTTCGGGCGTGGAGAGAAGCATTACGGACTTGGCGCCGAGTTCATCTACCAGGGAACGTATTTGTGCCAACGTTCCCTTTCCGAACAGAACTCGGGGCGAGTTGAAGATAAACTCAAATGTTTTCATGGTTACTGATGTATTAAAATGCCGAATACTTCATCGAGTTGAATTATAGTAGTCGTCAATTAATGAGCTGCTACTCAAGCAAACTTATATACTGCGACTCTAATCTGTCTACAGACTGACCCCACAACCCCGCATCATATGATCTGGAGTTCACCTCGACGTGTTGGCTTTCTCCCCCTCACTCGTCTCCTCTGTGTCGGTTATATGGAGGTATACGGATGATCCATCTCGGTCCTATCATCGAAGCATTTAGTATCTGTTCAAGGAATCTATTGGGGCATGGATTCAGCCAGGTACTTACGATGCATCGAGGGTCCTCAGATGCTTTCTTGTAAACTTCATAGGCCGCTTTCGCCATGGCGGGCTCCAGATCCAGCTTCTTGGCTGCTTCTATGCCCAAAGACAGGTCCTTCAGGAACATCTGCGTTTTAAAACCTAGTCTCCAGTTGTTACTGCTGGGTGCATGTGGTACCACGTCGGGTACAGGGCAAACATTGTCTCCCATGAACGTCTGTCCTGTGGAATTGTGGATGATCTGGTGCAGCATCTTCGGATCGACTCCGGATTTTACACCGATGGCCATGGCTTCTGCAACCAATAACAAGACCGAACACGAGATGTAATTATTGCTGATCTTGGCAGCTAGCCCAGAGCCAATGGTTCCGCACCAGAACAACTTTTGGGAGTCACCCATCAAATTTACAACATAATGGATGCGATGGCCTACATCACCATCAGAAGCTGGTTTCGGATGACCAATCATGAACGAAAGATTGGCCTTCTCAGCGGCTGGAACTCCGCCCTGAATATAATTAGTATTCTTTAAGCCTCCCGAAGATCTTATCCCCGAGGACTTACGGAAACTGGTGCATCCACATATATACCTCGGCCTGCCTCTTTGATTTGACGGGCAGTATCTCTTGCCGTCGTAACATCGATAGTGCTGCACTCCAGGAGAAGCCTATTTTTATTCTTTGTGGCGGATATGATACCGTCTTCGGGGTCCAGATACACCTGCAAAACCTCTTTAGGTCCCGGTACCATTGAGATGACTATGTCAGCCTCGGCTGCTAGGCGTTTTGGAGACTCATGGCACTTGACGGGCCCCATAACGATGAATTCGTCGTAAAAGCTTTGGCATGTGGGCTTGTGCACATCAAGAATATGCATGGACGATGATTTGGAGAGACCACGACGAATGGCTGCAGCCATTGGGTACCCAATAGCTCCCAGTCCTTGCGCGGTTAGCGTCTTCATTCCAATCAACCTTCACGAGGAAAGCTTACCAATGAAGCCGATGTTGACCTCCATTATTTTTCTTCTCAAGGAAATACTGCACAGCACAGTAGGTTGACCCAGTAGGACCTGTTGTTTCTGCTCCTCTTCGCTGGATGATATCGTGCATTTTCAAGAGCGCTGACATGTCCACCCCGCAAAACCCCGCTCGAGATTGGATTTCTACCCCATCCCTCGTCTCGACTCTACTCCATCTCTTTGCCATTGATAATGAAGATGCTTTCTTTAGCAATATTGCATACATATCTCGAGTGACTGGGGGCCTGTCGACGTTTATCTTGATTAGTTCCACCTTATGTCAAGTCGAAGGCACCGTCCTACATATCCAGATCTTTTACCCCACCATCGCCACTATGACACAGAAGCAGGGGCAGCTGACAGTTGGAGTCATTGGACCCGCCGGCTTTGGAGGCTCATACCTCTGTGTCGAACTCATCAGCCGCGGCCACCGCGTAATCGGCTTGTCGCGCAACCCCCAGAAGCTGGGTTCGCATCTTCTGTATGAACCACGGAATGTTGATCTTGCTTCTGTGAGTGAGGTAGAGCTGGTTTCAGCTTTCAGCGACGTTGATGTCCTGGTATGCGAATATGGGCCTCATACCGCAGGACATGAGGCACTCAAGTACAGTTAGTAAATTCCAGCTCTCATATCATCAATGACACATTCTGACCTCGCGTGCGCAGTGCCGTTTATCGAAGTGATCAGAAAGATAATCCTCGCCGTCAAACGGGCTAGGCTTGGTTATTTTATTATGCTTGGGGGCACCGGTAGCCTTCATGTTCCTCATGAGGATGGCGTCTGCGCGGCCGATAGCAAAGACTTTTTTCTCGCCTACAGACGAGCGATCGCTGATAGCCATGCACACGTTACTTATATGGAGGAAAGGCTTGGTCCACTCGGCGTGAATCTCAGAGCCTACCGCAACGCTCGCCTTGCCCTACGCGAAAACGATGACGAGAAAAAGAAGACTGCAAGTCGTGTCATCAGCGAGTACGAGGCCAAGTTGCGGGAGGGTGATGATGCAGCAGAGTTCATCAAGGCAGCAAGAACCACGGTCATGTTCTTCGACGGTAACAGATCATTTGACTGGACATATGTTTCACCGAGCGCATTATATCGCCCTGGCAAGCGCACAGGAACGTACGAGATTACCATTAATAACTTGCCTCTGACGGGGGAGATTCGGGGTGAAAATCGCTTGGATGGTCGTTTGATGGGTATTTCTGCTGCAGACCTTGCCATAGCTATCGCGGATGAAGTGGAGACACGAAGGCACATTTACCAGCACTGGACAGCTACATCTGACCTCTCAGATGATAGCCCAGCGCCAGCCTATCTCACCTTGAGTTCAGACAGTTAGATGATTGATACAGCTTTATTTATTCAGACTTGATCTAGCTATAAGTCCCGCGTTAATGAACAAAAAGCCATTGTCTGACTTACCCCATTCTCTCGTCTGAGAAATGATGCGGGGCAGTCTACAAAAACCACTTATGTGGAGGGTCAACATCCATAGGTTATAAGACAAGCCAGTCGGGTAGTATCAGCGTTGCCTTGAATCACACAACATTTTGCACCATCTTATCGCTTGACAACAATGGCCGAATATTTACTCCGTGACGAAGACCTACAAGACCTGCGCGGAAAGGTCATTATAGTAACTGGAGGGGCTACTGGTATCGGACGTGCCCTCGTGCAACTTGCCCATGGTACTCAAACTCCTTCCCTAGAGGTTTTGAGTTTAGCTAATCAGACTAGATCACGGAGCAAAGGTTGCAGCTTGTGATGTAAACATAGAAGCTGGAGAAGAGCTAGAACAACAACTCCCGACGTGATTGCCAGCAAACCTACGATCTCCCGCGGTGTCCAAATGACTGACCTGAGGTAGCGATTTCTTGTTTAAGAAATGTGACGTATCCATCTGGAAAGATGTGATAGAGTTCTTCCAGGAGACGTACCAAAGATTTGGTACAATCGATACAGTTATCTCCAACGCGGCGATAAACAAAGTTGAGAACCTTGACGACCTTGACGCAACCGATATTACAGACGGAGAAGAGCTTCGAGAGCCAGATCTTTCTGTTCTCAAAGTCAATATGATTGGAACATGGTACGTGACTCGGTGCGCCATTCACTTTTTCCGTAAGCATCCAGAGACCAGATCACAACTCGTACTTTTCGGATCAGTTGCCAGTTACTTTGACACTCCGCCGCTTTACACATACTGCGCGAGCAAAGCTGGAGTCCTTGGGCTTTTCCGGGCGTTACGGACACAAACAGTCAAGTACAACATAAGTGTCAATATGATTGCACCTTGGATGACCCGTGAGTGATCAAATACCCTCAGATAGCCCTCTGATTAACGAATTGTGCCTAACGAATATCATCCAATAGTCACTGACATGGTCACCGACCATGTTAAAAAGGTTTGGGGTGACTTGCCAGCAAACACTCCTCTCGATGTTGCGAAGGCCAGTCTTTTATGTGTAGTCAGACCCGAGATTAATGGAAAGGCGTTTCTCATCAATGGGGGCAAGTTCACCGAGGTGGAAGACAAGTTGGATGAGACGCAGGCAGTATGGTTGGGGTCAGAGCTTGACAAGAACATGAGAGAAGGCCAGCGGAGACTGATTGACTAGCTCATCAGAGACATACCAAACGATAAGAATTCATATCGGTTTCGAACTTGATATTTTCTTCTTATGGAGATTTATCTCAAAGTTCTATATTCTGTCCTAAATTCTTCGTGCTGAGGTGGATTGAAAACGGATCATTTTAGCATATAGTAATTATTATTTTGGGGCTCCCGCGCTATTGAGAACTACGGTCATATCAACGTTTATTAATTGATCAGAACTATGTCATCTTCGACAGTCTTTTCAACATCCTAAAGCTTAACTTTGTGACCAGCAATGAGTTATGTAGTATTGTGCTATAGCTGCATATTCCAATGCCACAGGTTTGGGATTCAAATTTGCCAAATAATTAATTTACATCATCGAATAACTTATTTTAGCCACGATACTCTAGATCCTCCAGATTGGCTGATTCGAAAGCGGCTTTCATGACGCGCCTATGCTCGTCAGAACGGCAGATAATGTCACACTCGAACGGCTCAGGGACACTGAGGAACCCGGGCATCATCCTGGTCACCGGATCAATCACTGACCCCTCTACGGTTTTCTTCTTCTGGATATTGAAGCCCCAAAGCGTTCGGGAAATGACGATAAATAAAGACTTTTCAGCAAGATGGACGCCAGGACACGCTCGTCTTAATCTCATGTCAGGATAGTGCAGATTGTAATGGTTGGGTTCTGTGCTTACCTTCCGGCGCCGTAGGAGAAGTGGTCTCTATCGTAAGGGTCTTGGGCGTTCATGAGCTCCGCCGCCGACCCTTTCGTGCCGAGATAACGTGAAGGCTCAAAGGTTTCTGGGTCTACATAGCGGCTTGGGTCGTACTGTATAGCCCTGTGATTTACTCGAGTGGTGAGTCTTCTGAATCTTGGAGTGTGATGATCGGATGGAGGAAATACTCACCACCAGTTCAAGACAACCACGGAGTCTTTGGGAATGAAATACCCATCGTACCAGTCATCTTCAGTCAAAGCATGGTACATACCGAATTTATTGACCGGACGCCATCTAAGGGTTTCCTTGATCATGGCACGGATGTATGGAAGATCCTTTTCGTCCTCCCACTGAGGAAGCCTGTGAGAACCAACCACGCGGTCGAGCTCTTCTTGACCCTTTTTCATGATCTCGGGATGCAAAACCATGGCCAATGTCCAGTTGTTGATTGTGGTAGCTGTCGTCTCAGAACCAGCCTCGACCAGCCCTCCGCAGGTATAGGCGGCCAACAAGTCATCGATGCCATTCTTTTTTGGGTCGCTGAGGTAAAAGTCCTTACAGAAGCAGTCTCTAGCCGTTCCCTCGTCTGTAGTCCTTTTCAATGTGTCCCACAAATCGAGGTAAATCTGGCTGTCATGGGCGAAGGCTCTTTCTCCCCATGAGCGCCAATTACCCAAGAGCCACTGTGGCAATCTGGCTAGGCCAGGAAGCGTCTCAACGATGAAGGCACCTGGTGCAGACATGATTGACAAGTTTTCGAGAACAGAGAAGATTTTTGTTATGATCGGGTCTTCAAAAGAGGGAATGCGATAGCCATAAGTAACCAGCATGATAACCGATGTCGAATAGCGACGATTTATGGTGTAGAACTGATCTGGTCGCTCGAGGAGATCGTTGAGGACTACCTTGGACTCGAAGTCTTGCACGGGCCTGTATTTGTTGGACGTGTTGAGATTGAGAAGAGCATGGCTGTGTTTCCGTAAGCCTCTCCAATCAGGTCCATATGCCATAAAGAGCTGTCGTGACTTTCCACTAGCCACATCTTGAGCGAGAGGAAGTGAAGGGCGTGAAGAGTAGATGCCAGATTTCTTATCCAACAAATCTTTAACGGCTTTGGGCGATGAAAGCCAGATGTAGTCTGTCCCGCCGATCTTTGTGTAGAAGACATCTCCGTATTTCTGATGCCAATCACGTACCCGGTAGCGTACAAGCTCCGAATCGTTCAGATCGAATAGATTGCCAACCAAAGGCCAGCCACGTGGGCCAGGTGGAAGCTTTCTCCTTCGCAAGTCCTATCAACGCCAGCCATAGTTAGAAAACGCCGATCAGGTTTTGGTACTCGTTTGGCGTCCTCACCGTGATGCTATTTGGGATTAGGCACAGATAGGCACCAATCAGAAATAAAACGACAGCCAAGGCTGGACGGAGAAGGGAGTCAGTGACAACAGGCAGATAGACTGGACTTTCAAACTCGAGAAGCTTCATTGCGATAGTACGGAGGCTTGTAAGGTATTCAGGTGCTTGCGGAAGAATCTGGGAAACCTGCGGTAGAGACAGGCGTATAAACTTTTCTTTTTGTTCTGCCGCCATGTTCACTCTACTCACCCTACACTAAATCTTTTTACATGGGTATACTCCACACTTCCTAGACTCTTAAAGTACTCCACACAACGCCAAGTACCATGGCTACCTAAACCAACTGAACGACGAGACTCGTGTGGGGTAACTGTTCGTCGCATCGCGGGGTTGGGGTTAAATTTCACAATGAGACTACAAATGCAATGGACCATCACCAGTAGAGTGCTTCAACTAAAGGCGAAGAAGAGCAAAACGGAAAAGGCCAAGAAGGAAATAGAACAATCAGTCCCAAAATATGGCTACAAAGGATTTTCAGAAAATCTTCCATTGGGCATCGACCCAGCAGAATGGCAGTATTCCTTCGTTCTCGACCCGGCCCAACGATCCTTATAAATACCAACCTGGCTTCGATAATAATTTCGAGTCGGAAGCTATACCAGGCACCATCCCGAGGGGACAAAACAGTCCTAGATCCATCCGCTTTGGACTTTATGCAGAGCAGATTACAGCATCCGCCTTTGTCGCGCCTCGCCATCTCAACAAAAAGGCCTGGCTTTACCGCGCTCGACCAGCTGTAGCGCATCAAGGATTTGTAAGTTTCAACCAACATATCCTAAAAATGACAGGCCCTGTTCAGCTTGGCTAACTATGTGCAGTCTAGTCTGCCTGATAATAAGGACACTGAGTCTACTTTTTTGCCCCTGAACCCACGTGTTCATGTTTCCCCTACTCAGCTGGCTTGGAAGCCATTTGAGATTCCCGCTGGCGAGGACGTTGACTTTGTCGATGGACTCAAGACCATCGCGGGCTCTGGTGATTCCACCTTGAGGGAGGGACTGGCCACCCACGTTTTTCTATGCAACAAGAGCATGAGCAAGAGGGCGTTTGTCAACTCAGATGGCGACTACCTAATCGTCCCCCAACAAGGTAACTTGGATATACAGACCGAATTCGGTTTCTTGTACGTTCAACCAGGGGAGATATGCGTTATTCAACGCGGACAGCGGTTCAAGGTCAACATTGAGGGCCCTACGCGAGGGTACATCCTGGAGATCTGGGGATCTAACTTCGAGCTTCCAGAATTAGGCCCCTTAGGCGCCAACGGGCTTGCCAATGGTCGAGATTTCCTATCCCCTGTAGCAGCCTATGAGGTCACTGAAAATGACCCATGGACTGTTACTTACAAGCTAGGGGGCAAGTTCTTCTACAGTAGCCAAAACCACTGTCCATTTGATGTCATTGGATGGCATGGAAATTACGTCCCATATAAATACGATCTTACGAAATTCGTCAATGTCGGCTCTATTTCAGTTGATCACATTGACCCATCAATCTTCTGTGTCCTTACCGCCAGGTCCAGAGACCCTGCAGCGCCATTAGCTGACTTCCTTATTTTCTCGCCCAGATGGGACGTTGCCTCGCATACATACCGGCCTCCATATTACCACCGTAACTGTGCATCAGAGCTTATGGGGCTTATCTACGGCGAATATGGCGGTCGATCAGACGAATTCCAGCCTGGAAGTGTCTCCTTCGAATGTGGCTTCGTCCCTCACGGCGTCGCCTACGAGGAGTTTGCCGCTGCCTCCAAGCAAGACCCTCCGGTGATGCAGATTTCGGAAAGCTCTATTGCGTTCATGTTTGAAAGCAGTCGAGCTTTCACCATCACTGACTATGCTTGGGAAAGCGACAGGCGGCATGAACATGACCCCAAAATGTGGGATGACCTCGTCGACAACTTCTCTAAGCACAAGTTGGAAGTGGAAAAGATCTTGGCTGAGAAGGCCTGAACCAGAAGTTACTCTTTGCAGGTAGCTTACTATAGGTTCATATACACATAGTGTAGCAGTGACATCACTTTCGAATAGATCATTATGCCTTCAGAACTTTGCGAAATTCTAGTTGTCGGGGCATGATCAAAGAATAGATAAAGCCAAGTAGTACAATTATTCTGGTCACAAAGGTCACCCAAAAATGCTCTTTTTTGTATTTGAGATGAGAGAGCGCGAGGAGGTCCAATAGGCCTGCCATGATGTCTTTATGTTTCATAGTTAAGTGAAATACTCCAAAGAAGAAAAAAGCTCTCTGTGTGCCGTCCTTGACGCTTTCAACCACAATTTCGTCAAGAGCATCGATTAACAAGCCTCGAAAACGGCTGGAAAGGCAATTCTCTTCATTTTGTGAATAGTTTAAGTACACAAGGTTGCCGTATATGTCGCTAAAATAACAACACACGTTAGCTCCAATTGACATCCTTCAATGGTTCATCTGTCTCTAAGGAATCTTGATGCTTTTTGAAGCAGTCCTAGGATATAGCAGACGATGCTAACGTCATGCATATGTTATCACAAAAGAAAGAGGCGCACCACTTGTACCTGTCCCTCAGATCTGTCTGTCAGTAATTACCCCATGGTGGGGTTCTCAGATTTGATGGAAAACATCACCCCAGAGGCATGACCTTTGTAAGTTGGTTGGATCGACATATTAGGTGCGCGGGGTCACCATTGCGGGAGGATCTGCGGGGAACATCTAGTGTCTCAAGTCATGCTATGACAGATTGGCCAGGTTAAATAATATACATGAGTGCAGCCCAGCTTTTGGAGACAGTGCCTTTCTGGTTTCTTTTCATGACTGTTGCAGGAAACAACACTCGCCAATCTAAACTATCAGACACCAATCAAAAGCGCAGAAATCTATAATGACTCAATCTTCATTCAAAGTCTGTACTGATCGGGGCTGTCATGAAGCTACGAGAGATTGCTAACTCACACAGATCATCATCGTGGGTGCAGGGCCGGCGGGGCTTCTCCTCGGGCTGCTGCTCGCGAAACAAAACATCCCTGTAACCATCGTCGAACAGTCCTCTAAGCTAGATGAGAATCCACGTGCAACGCACTATGGGCCCCCAGCTATGAAAGTCCTTAACAATGCAGGTGTAGGCGATGAGCTGCGCTCCAAGGGGCTTCTCGTCAACACCGTTGCGTGGCGGCAAATAGATGGGACTTATATCTCTGGCCTCGACCATGGACCCGTGGAAGGTAGTCCTACTCGCATGGTTGCGCTGCCACTTAATCAGGTCTCACAGATATTGAAAGATCACGCTGACAAGCTACCGTCTCTGAGATATCTGTTCAACCGTCAAGTGACCAGCATCGGCCAAGATGACTCAAGAGCTTGGGTCGATACGTTAGATACAAAGACAGGAGAGCAAGCACGCCTCGAGGCAGACTACATTGTGGGGTGCGACGGAGCCAATAGCATAATCAGGAGATCGCTATTTGGGGACATGAACTTTCCAGGGAAAACTTGGGAAGAGCAGATTGTTGCCACAAATGTAGGTCATTGTGAAACTGTTCCGCTGAAGCACACACTAACTGCGCACCGAAGGTATACTACGACTTTGAGAAATTCGGCTACAGTGATTCCAACTTTATCATTGATCCAACAAACTGGTACATGGCTGCCAAGATCACTAAGGATGGGCTATGGCGCGTCACATATGGAGAGATACCCGGCTTGACTCGAGACAAATTGATCGCCAGACAGCCAGATAAGTTCGAAAAGATGCTTCCCGGCAATCCAAAGCCAGAAGAATACAAGCTGGCCAGCATTAGTCCCTATAGAGTCCACCAGCGCTTGGCTGAAAAGTTACGCGTCGGACGATTCCTGCTGGCAGCGGATGCAGCACACCTATGTAACCCATTGTGAGTGAAATCCCGAGCCAAAGAGAAGGTCAGGATAGAGGAGCCGTGAATGTATTCTTACATGGACAATAGTGGAGGTCTCGGACTCACAGGAGGTGTCGTCGATGTTCAGGGTCTGTACGAATGTCTCTTGGGGATCTACCACGGTAGAGCGGACACAGGCATTTTGGACTTATACAGCGATGTTCGTCGACGAAAGTACCAGGAGATCGTCGATCCCATCTCATCCTCAAATCTTCGCCGCATGTTCACAGCTGAACCTGCAAAGATTCTTGAGACGGATGAATTTTTACAGATGTGCAAAAAGGCGGAAACTGACCCCGAACTCGCATTCAAGATGCTCGAGGTAAGCATATCCACAGGCTTGTCGTCGATGAATTAGGCTGGAACTGACTTTGGGAAAAGAGCGCACACTCATTGAGCTACGACTTTACGCAACACTACAACTCATGATTCCCTCTTCACAAGCATAGATATCGCAGCAAGAGCTATGGAGGATGGTATATTAATATCGCTAGAAATTTGGACTGAACGTAACTTAAGCGGGGTCAAACAAGTGAACTGACAATTGGTTCCTGCTCCGCCTCACATAAATAAGAATCGAGATTTTAGAAAAAGCCAAAAGCGTATTGATCTTTTTTTCATTTCGATACCTTCCGTAAATATCTTTTGATTGCAATAATATCGGCAGCTTTGTATTTCATATCATTTCAATTGCCTGGTATCCAATTAATACTGTAAGAATATCGTTCACGTAACTTAAGCATTAATGGATGTTCTAGCATTTTATCAGTCTATAGGGTATTCATAGATATGTCCGTCACAAAAGGCATATCTATGACACAACGCTCTCGAAGTAAAAGCAATGTAATGGTGAGTACAATATTGCCATAAGTAATAATACGAAAAAGAAATAAATGGTGAATAGATGAACAGGGTCCCGAGGTTGAAAAGGTTTCACCAATATGTAAGATATTTCCTCATGATTGCTATGCAGCTCGCTTTTGTAAGCCCTTCATAGGCGGTCTAATTATTCTTTAGCCTGTTCCTCCTGCCGAATTGCAATGATAACCTTCTCTGCAATCTTAAATCCTTCAAGGCCAGCCGGCATACCACAGTAGATTGAAGCTTGCAATAACGTCTCTCTGATCTCGATATCGGTGGCGCCGTTGTTGATAGCACCTCTGACATGGGCAGCCAGTTCAGGGCCACGATTCAATGCACACAGCATTGCAATATTGAGCAAGGATCGCTGCTTTCTTTCCAGTCCTGGTCGTGACCATACACATCCCCAACAAGCTTCCGTGACGAGATCTTGCATCGGTCGGGCGAAGTCTGAAGAACCATTTGCCAGAGCCGCATCGACATAAGCAGAGCCGGCAACCTCATAACGAATCTTGAGTCCCTTGTCGAAGAGGGTCTTGTGAGCATCCTGCTCTTGTTTTGTGACGAGTGGAGTGTTGGTCGACATGGCGGCACAAGGGAAAAACCAAATAGCGATATGATCTCTGGGGGAAAGGGAAGGGAAAATAATGATTACTACGCGCTCAAGTTGGATCTTGGTGGTAACGGGTGATATCGGCCGTAAGAGGAGATTAAAAGCCCGAACGAGGTGCTGTGAGGACTACTGACTACGAAAAGGCCAGCCTTTAGGCAAACGCTTGCGGGGAACAAGTGAGCATTTGATTACCCCACCAAGAGGCGGGAAGTTTTGGATTAATTACCCCACACCTGAAGCTTCAGAAATGTACCAACCAGGGTGGATTCTGCGGGGTTGATAATCACCAAAGGCTTAGAAGGGGCTTCAGATTGGAAAAGAAATCCAAGGAATCTGGCTTAGAAACAAAAGGCATGTATGAAGTCCAGTTTTGATAATAATGGCAGTAGCAATAGTAATGCATGCATGGTGTCTGTATACATAGCTAGATGGAATATTTGGAAAAACAACAGTTTATTTCTGGTCTCCGAGTTTGAACTTTGTTTCCCAATCTTCATTACCACCAATAAATCTGAAAACAACACGTGAATCCAAGTCCCTACAGTTGGGGTCTTGGCTAGCATCCTTGTAAGCCGCAAGTCCATTGTATCCTAGGAGCATTTTGGCCCCAACTTGCTCCGCAGCTGCAACAGCTAGACCGAAGTCTTTGGCCATCAGTTGTACTTTGAAACCGCCCTTATACCCTTTGCTCGATGGAGCGTTGGGACAGATACCTGGCACTGGATTCCACTTATCGCAGATAGTACTCTGTGCTGTGCTGCTTGCAAACACCCGAGCCAGAACTCGGGGGTCCATGCCGGAACAGATGCCGATGTTCATGGCTTCAGCTGTAGCGAGAGCAATGAGGCCAGAGCAGTAATTGTTGCAGAGCTTTGCTGCCAGACCCATGCCTAACCCACCACAACAGACAATGCTGCTACCCATCAGGCTCAGAAGGCCGTACACGATCGGATATTGGGCATCTGAGCCGTCGTCGGAACAACCGAGCATTATTGTCAAAGAACCCGATTCTGCTCCAAGAGTGCCCCCGGAGACAGGTGCATCGTAAAAGGATATGGAAGGGTGTTGAAGCTTGACCTCGCCTGCGACGCGAAGACATGTCTCTGTGTCTATCGTGGAGCAATCGACTAAAACACGAGCTGCTATGTCGTCATGCAGAATTCCATTTTCAGGATCGAGGTAAACTGTTTTAACATGGGGCCCCTCCGGAAGCATGGTAAACACGACGTGCTGTCAAAATACGTGAGATCTCTGTCAACATGAATGGTTTCTACTTACAGCGTTTCTGGCAACTTCCCTTGCAGAACTGCATGTCGTGACGCAGTCGCCATGCTTGTTTGTCAGCTTCTCCATAAGCTTCTCAGAGATATCGTAAATAAAAATGGTTGAGCCTTGAGGGACTTTAGAAATGAGATTTGACGCCATAGGTAAGCCCATGGCTCCGAGGCCGATAAAGCCCAGATTTATCGGCCCTTCCATGGCTTGGAGGGGAAGTCGAGGTGCTGCAGAGATAGGAATTGAGGTATGTTGCAGCAGTGGATAGAAGCCTGTCTATGGTAGCTGAGACGGAAAGGCCTATTATATTCGAAAGGGCAGCGAACTGTGCGGGCGGTTCAGTGGGGTAGATAGGCTGTGTCAAAGCTCAGAGAACTGTGTTTGAACGGTCCATTTCGGTAATCACATCATGAGGGATTGAGCATAGACCAACCATTTACAGACGATAGTTTAATATTGTCGTACGCGCATTTTGTGTTGATAACTTAAGATGACGGAACTATTCCCGATTATAATGCCCCAGGTAGAAAGGCATCAGCGTGTGACTCAGCCCATTCCACATCGTGCGCAAAGATGATATCCAAGGCAACGTCGCACTCTTCAGAAGCACGTTTCCATATGGCGAATATTTCTAGAGTCTCAGTTGCTTTTGCCTTATCCATGTGTATACAGCATGTCCGTCCCTCCGAGTCAATCCACTCAGCAATCGATTGTTCCCCCGTCAGCAAGCGCTTGTCATGACACGCATCGCCGATGAGCCATGCCCACTTACGACAGCCTGTTCGAACAAGCAACGAAATATGGCCCATCAGATGTCCCGGGGAGTCAACCACGTAGACCAGGCCGCTGTCCCCCAGTTCCAACATCCTGAGGCCCCCCATCAAGTCCCAGCTGTTTGGCTCGGACAACTCGGTGACGTCGAGGTCCTGGAACAAGTCGTGCTGGAAGTTGGAATGCGACATGTGGCCGTTGATACCTCTTTCTAATAATGAAAGGGACCCCGCGCCGACAAGAAACTTGGCTTGCGGGAAATCGCTCGGTGTGCCTATGTGATCCCAGTGTACGTGGCTCAGGATCACCTGGTCGATGTCATTTGCTTTCAACCCGCTGTCTGTTAAGATATGGAGAACATCTGGTGTGGTTTGTATTGGCAAGCGTTCTTTCAAGTGGTCCTGGATCTCCGGGGTGTACGTGCTGATATCGCGTCGAAGGCCCAAGTCGAAGAGGGTGCGTTTGTGTCGCCTGTCAGCACCACGAGTCTGGGTGAGGAGAAATGACAATGATGGAACCCGTGTGAACTCTTCATTTGTAGCTCCAGAGACGAAAAACTTCTTTGGAAGAGTAAAAGTGCCTCCTTGAAGAGCCGAGACGCGCACCTGGCCTTGGGCTCCTGCTTCAAGGGCCAGTAAGGCAGCAATTGCGGCAGAGTGTTCCAGCATTTTAAGCAAAGCGTGATTGCAACAATTAGGGATATCTTTGTTTCAAAACGACAATGTATTGATTGGAAGCCACAAGTGGCGTACATTTTACGGGTGGCATTATATACATGCGAAACCAGCGTGGGGAATCAAGTACAGGCATACCGCCCCCACATACATTTCATCAAGACTGTTTCTTTTTTCCATTTTTATTGTTACGCCCAAACATCCTCCTGGGAGTATTGTTAGTATCCAAGCGAGTCTCTGCTGCCAGCTAAGAGTCACGTACCTGATATCGGTTCTCGGCTCGCATATCCTTCAGCACTGCTTTGGCTTCAGTAAGCCCCACACCGCGTCCTTGGGCAATAATCTCTGCCAAGGTATAGCCTACATCCTTGGCCATTCGTGCCGCGTCGCCGCACACATAGATGTGACCATCTTGTTCCAGAAGTTGGTAAACTTCGGTAGCGGCTTCCTTGAGGCGGTGTTGCACGTACGTCTTTCCAGCCCCCTCTCTCGAGAAGGCAGTAATAAGCTTGAACTTTCCTTCGAGTTCGGATTCGTACGCCTAGATAGTCTCCTTTAGCGATATCCTTTTCAAAATTGGACGACAGGGATTGATGATGTAGCGTACCTTCCATTCTTCTTGATATAAAAAGTCTTCATCCTTTTGCCTGCATCCGAAGAACAATACCATCTGACCGATTGAATTTCCATTTCTCCTCCTCGCTGCACGCTCTTGAACGAAGCCTCTGAATGGAGCTACGCCAGTACCTGGCCCTATCATGATTATTGGCCTCGACAAGTCATTGGGGAGCCTGAAACTGGAATGCCGTATATGGATTGGAATACTCTCTCCCATGAACCTTCGACGAGGCCCTGTCAAGTCATACGAACTGTTAGATGCCTGTGGTTCGTGGATTCGATTTCTGTGGAAAGCCAGCAGAAAGCTTGAAGCGACACCGCAAAAGTGATACTCGTCTTGTCGGGCTTGAACTAACTCGGATTGGACAGCCACTGTGATCGAAATGACATCAAGCTGCACAAGAGGGGACGAGGAGATGGAGTAGTAGCGGTGTTGGAGTTTGGGTAGTCCTTCGATTAACAAAGAGAGTGGAATCTTGGACCACGGATTTCCATTTCCTACGCGTTCAAGCAACCGAGCGAGATTTGAAAGATGACTTTCTGAGTGGAACAACTCTTTATCACTGCTGATGGCGCTGATTCTTTTCTTGACATCTTCGTCGGGCGCAAATGGGACAAGGTCGGCGAGCATCTGACGGGAAACAGGACCACTGATTTCCAGGTAGTAGCGCATCATAGAATCGTAAGTTGTTGGTGTCGGAAATGGAGCCTTTGTGAGAGAATCCACAGCTTGAACTTTAATGATGTGATGCCTCTTTTCCTGAAGTCCCAGAACTCGCAGGAGGCGATCAACTTCTTGATCTGCGTTCGAAGGCCATACGGCCAAGTGATCGCCCGTCTCATATGTGAGACCAGAGCCTTTGATATCGACCTCCACGTGAATGCATCTACGAGTTCTTTCTTTGGTGGAGATGAGATCTCGAGATGCGTTAATACGGGCGACGTATGGGTTGTGGCTGTCGTAAGGGCCATACTGAGCTTTCAGTCCTTGAGTCAAGTGAGCCTCATTAGGCTCTCCTACGTATACCTCCGAGGACTCCAGTGTAAGGACGTCAGATTCGACGACGATATACCTGGGCTCGTAGACGCTCTCCACCTCCTCGAGGTTCATTCTCGAAACTAAAGCGTTCCACATTTCTTGTTTCCAGCTAAGGAAGTCCTCTTCCGTTGTGCCTGAACCATCATCGCCCTCACCAACAGGGCCGATCCTCGAAGAACCTAGAGCATCTAGAGCCGCAGTCACGCTCCTCACTACCGCGTTGTAGTGTTCATAAGTTTTGTTGCCTAGTCCAAAGGCCGCGTATTGAAAGTGAGTGAGCAATGAGCCTTGGCTGAAGGTAGCATTGCCATTGGTGATAAAGTTGTAGAAGTTAACTGCGTTGTCGGTCGGTTCGCCTTCTCCATAAGTTGCGAGAATGAAAAAAGCAACTTTGTCGTTAGGCAGCTGATCTAACATGTCGTAGTCGTAATCTTCCATGTTGGCCACCATGGTCTCAAGCCCAAATCGCGCCTTGCCCTCCTTGGCTAGCTGGATGGCATACGATTCGGCCGTACCAGTTTGTGAACCATAGAATACGATGCAGTTTTTTCGCTCGTCGTTCATGACCTTTACAAAGTCTCTCGAGTTGTCCGATTTTGCTCGTTGGGTATTATGCTTGGCACCTCCAGCCGCCAGGATACTTGTCTTGCCACGTCGCTTGCTTTGGACGATAAACATCACTAGCAACAAAGCGAAAATCATGTCCCACCTCCCAACCTTGTTCAATATCTGGTAACTAACCATCACAGCCACCTGTTCATCAGACATAGTGTCTGGTTGAAGTTCCATTGGTTGGTCAAAAATCAAGACAATAATGAAGAATGAGCTTTTTGCAAAGACAGAATATGTGAATTTGTATATAGTAAGTGATACGGGACGGAAATCTTGCGAGATCGAAATTGTTGTAGAGTTAAAAGCCTCATTCGCCGTCGACGTCCTCTGTCGCTTTGACATCTACCCCAACATTTATTTCACATCCCCACATCCCAAGGTTCGTTTTGAGCCTTGCCCTTGGCATCCCCCACCTCAAGCAACCTTCCAGTTGCCTGCCGCAATTGGGAAATTCATGCAGCATCGGGTGACGAAGCCCAGACGTACTTCCTTTACGTTTTGGTGATCAGACGATGCCCCATGAGCCCCATGCTAGAAGGTCACTGTAGCAAGCGCCAGCTTGCTGTGAGGACTCATGATTTCGTCATAAACAAGGCCGTGAGTGCCAGAATTCCATCTAACAATCCTCGTCTTCTGCTGCCGCATTGTGATGAATAGTTACATATATATGCTGGTATCGTTTTCTTGATACAACCAACCGTTGGTATATGGTTGGACATCTAAATGAGTGTTGATCTCGGTCCATGTCACCGACGCATTTTACCATAAATGATTGGGCACTGTGACGGAAGACCGCCGATTAGCGTTGAACGCCTTTTCGTAGGCGTTGGCCAGCAATCCGAGAGTTGCACCCATCTGTGGGGTAATGCCCCAAATCCAGACCTGGACGTGCTCGGTTAGTAACACTCATCAGAATACGATGGGTAACTCACATCTTGTAAGAATGAACCCCATGTTCTCGCAACTCCAGCAGCCAGGGAGGAACTTTGCTCCAGTTCGCACTCGGCTTCCTCCAATACTTCTCGGACAAGGGTGAGTAGCTTCTGTTCTTCAGGACCCAGTTGAACGCCATTGGAACTCATCATCTCGACAGCGTGAACCCATTTCGTTACTACTAGAGCTGATCAATTGTTAGTCGAGGCACTGTTGGTAATCGAGAAGAGAGGACATACCGCTTTCCCAGCCAGAGATAGCATGTTCGACGCTCCACCGGAAGGCGGCCGTTTTTCGAACCAGCATTGTTCCCATTTTCACGGGTATTCTCAATCCCTCAAAGCATTTAACGACAGCATTCAAAATTTGCGGAGATCGGTCAAGTTCGCCAGCAACGAAAGAGACAATGGCGTCATCCATCTCGGCAGCATCTGTGCTCATCAAGCTGATGTGGGCGGAGGAATTGACAGTCCTGAACAGGCTGACGTAAGCAATCCGCAAAACTGCCTGGCAGTTGAAGACCAAAGATGTCTCGTCATGTTCGTCAGAGTCCAGGCTTTGGGTCACAGATCCAGCACGCTTCAAAAAAGCATCACACCTCGACAGAATAGCCATTGAGCTATCCATCAACGAGGACCCCAGCAAGTCTGGACCATCAAGCGACCATATAGCGTGGGTGACTTGCAATCTTTGCCACATATGAACCACAACGCCGTGCATGAGGATCAGTGCCGAGAAAGCCGATACCTGGTACGGCGCGGTGTCACTGTGATATCTACCCTCAAGCATGACATCTACCAACACTTCCTTCATGGTCCGATGATGCTGTGCAGGGTGTTTCTTGATGCTAGCCAGACGTACTTGTCGCCATTCATTTGCCGAAGACGCGTCCCACATCGCCTCATCGTGGAAAGCCTCAAATTCCAAGTCCTGGGTCGCATTGAAGCCTGGATTGACATCGAATAAGACCATGGTAAGAGCGCTTGTAAAGAACAAGCCGCCCAGAAGTCTTTTCCATGACTCTCGCTCGATCCATTGGTGCCATGTTAGCCGGCTTACATCCACGCTGGAGCTCGCTAGAGCTGTTCTCGTTCTTTTGTATAGCTGTTTTAATCTGCGGTTAGATCTGCGTCTTGTTCGGGGATGCATCTGATGTTAGGTGTAGCTTACCAGGACATAGTAGCCATTCAGCCGCAAAGTGCCAGATAACAAATCCTTGTCGCCACTCATTATGGCATAAAAACTCAAAAGGAGCTTTGTCTGCGCGTGCCAGAGGTCGGTATTCTTGACCATAATACTCTCGCTGTCCCGTGTTGGACAAGCTACCTAGTGACGACAGGTTAGCTGTGTGGCCCAAGGCCGGTGATATTGGACCCACAGTTTCAATGGCCGACACGGCCAGTTCATGTAGTCGATTTGCACGACGGCGGTCTAGGCGATAAAGAGCACCAACACTACACATGGCAAGGATCAAGGGACTTGGAGTGGCTCTTGGTGAGAATGATTGCAGATGAATTAGAGGTAGGTGGCAATGAAAGTTGGTGGTGTAGCTTGAGAGAAAGCTTTGACAGACCCTGGCTGGAGGAAGCTGGATACTCTCGACGGTTTTAGTGAGTCGGATAGATAAATCGTTGAGGATCGACTGATAGGCGGATTCATCCAACGCAGCAGGAGTATATATTTGCCGGTCTTCATGTAGCGCGGGAAGGCCATTGCTACTTGCTTGAGACTTGGGCGTGCTTCGGTCGTCCATAAACTGACCTAGAGCCCCGACACCGGCAAGAGGCTGAGTCTCAGACAGAGGATTGTCGGCTGTGGAGTAGATACCGCCTTCTTCGATTGGTAGTTGTTGGAGCCTCAAGTTACCGTGCGATTGAGAATATGACTGATTACCACTATCCTGGATGGCAGACTGATCGGGGAGAGATAAGAAGGCGAATGCGGAATGGTCCATATCGAAATTGAGCGTTGGCGAAAAATAGAACGATGCATGATCCTGGTCCATAGGGGCAGATGTCTCCAAGGTGCCCAGCTGGGAGAGCGATTGGCGAGTAATATCCATTCCTACATTTCTTTCTGACATGAGCGCGTCATCGAGGACACCCATGATTTCTGTATCCAATAGTCCAGTCATTGAGCTTTCACCAACTTGAGGATTCAACGGTGGAAAGTCGTGAGATTGAGCTTCGGTGACAGTGGTGCGAGCCGCTGACGGATGGGCTATTGGCTCAGAGGTTGTAGCCATGGCCACGGGGAAAGATGAATTACGCGTAGATGTGAGAGCGGATTCGTTTGACGATGTGCGACGCCCGCGGGAGGCTGCGACATCAGACGAAGATGAAGGGGAGGAGGAAGGCGAAACAGAACAGCGTATCTCATTTTCAGGCAACACAGCCTCTCCGCTGTGAAGGCGCCCGTCGTCAGTGTCGATGTGTTGGGAAGACTCGGGTTCGTCACCAGGCGGCGTCCTCAAGGCACGTGGTTGCGCGATTGAGGCGTAGGCCACGTTGACCTCGTCGGCGATGTTGTCGGGCTCGACATGTTGTATACGTCGTTGGTGTGCTTGGGCATGGAGCGTCTTTTCGTGTCTTGTCACGAGATCTCTACATCAATACAACGGTGGTCAATTACGTTCGCTCATCAGCAAGGACATCGTGGTGCTAATAATTACTTTCGCGAGTAGGATTTGCCACAGTAGCCACAAACAAAGGGCTTCTCCTGGGTATGTGTGCGCTCATGGCGAATACAGTGCTCGCTACGCTTGAACGTCTTCGCACAGAATGCGCATTTGTACTGGCGACGGGGGCGGCCTCTACGTGGACCAACAGGTTTCAACGATGCCGCCTCCGTCGCTGCTACTGTCACGCTGCTTTCAACGCCCGAAGTCATAGAGTCGTGACGTGGACATCCGGCTGTTTTGATCGATCGCACGGATGAGGGCTGCCATAGGATTTGATGATGAATGTTGGATTTGGTTGAGAAATGGAGGGTAACAGCGTAGGGAAAGTTTGGGGGGGTGAAGCGAACTGGAAGAACGCGGGGAAGTCAATCACAGGCTAAAATAGCGCTTCAGCTCATCAAATCACAAGGCATTACAGGGATAAGCTAGCGAGAGTCTAGGACATTTAGGGTCAAGGTTAGAGCGGGGGAATACCAGACGCCCACCAGTGAAAAACATACCAAAGTCACGGAATCAGAGTACGGATGATCTAGAGAGTGAAGTCAACCGGTTCGCCATGCCTTGGCCTGGAAATCTAGAGTATTTTCTACGATGCCTAACTATCTACAACCACTCCATTACTAACCACTTTTACGTTGCCAAGCATAAACCCTTCCTTTTCAGCCTCCAACCATTCTTTCCTTAGGACCTGAGCCCGCGTCTCGTTACGCGGTACAAACCGAGCCTTGAACGGCTTAGGCAAGGTATTGATACCAGGCTCATAAGCCTCGTCAGAAAGGTCAACAGGCAGACTCTCCCCGTCAGGCCCGCGACCGGGCTCGATGCGGAACGCCCAGAGAATCTTGGCCAGGGTGATGAAGAGGCTATTCTCCGCCAAGTGCATTCCAGGGCAGATGCGACGGCCAGCGCCAAAGTCGAAGTGATCGCGACTCTTGACATCCCCAGACGCTGCGTAGACTCCTGCCTTATGAGGGTAGTCTAGGTAGCGTGAAGGATCAAACCTTTTGCCTCCGTCCTCCCAGCGGGTCTCATCAAAATGCAACACATACTGGCTTAGGCAGACAACCGTATTCTTTGGGATGCGATAGCCCTTGTATTCAATGTCGGCCGTGGTATAATGTGGGGTTCCGATCGTCGTGACAGGCCGTATACGCAGGATTTCCTTGCCGAGCGCGCGGATATACGGCAAGTTGTCCTCATCGCCGAAATCTGGCGACCTATTGTCGCCGACCACCCTAGTTATCTCCTCGTGCGCCCGTTCCTGAATCTCGGGATGCGCCATCAGATGTAGAATGGCGCTGTTTAGAGCTGACGATGTGGTCTCGGAACCAGCTTCGATCATCGCTTGTGGCAAACGTTAGCAGTCGGTTTCGACAACGCAATCACCAGCGAATCAACTCACATCCCGCAGCGAAACCTGCCTCAACTTCTGAAATTCCCTGCTTTTCAAGGTTTGACTCTGCAAGTTGCTTTACCAAACACTCAGGAGCTCTGTTTTCTTTCAGGTGAGTCTGAAGTCTGTCCCAGTAGCGCATCCACGTTGCTTTCTGTCTCTCATAGGCTGCTTCTGCGCTGGCACGCCACCATTGCAGACCCTTAGGTAGCTTGTTGAGCGGCGGGAACATATCGGCGACGTAGGCACCAGGCTGCGCAGCCTGTGAAAAGTCTTCGAGCACTTTGTAAACCTCTCGTATATCATCGCAGTCCTGTTTTCGCTACCCGTCAGAACGCCAAATTAAGTCACTATTTCCATCACGACTTACCCAGGATGGCACACGAAGGCCGTAGGTGCTTAGCAATACCACCGACGTAGTGTATCGCCGAACGTGCATATAGAAGCTGCTCTGGTCCTTGTTGTCGGTGGCAATGTCGTGTATCAGCTGCTTCGCCTCGAACTCCTGGCTGGGCTTATATGTGCTCGAGGCTTTGGGCGTAAGTGACTTGTGGACAATGGCTCTCATCTTGCGCCACCTTTCGCCGTACGTGAGGAGTAAAAGGCGATTATCGCCAGACAAGATGCCCGAAACCACCGGCTGTGGCATCCTTCCTGAAGTTACGGCTGACTGTTTGTCAAAGATTTCTCGCACATCCGTGGGGTTGTTGAAAAAGACCCAGTTTTCCCAACCAAGCTTGATAGTGAATACGTCGCCGAACTCTTTAGCCCATCGCTGGAGCTGACGGTGAGGGTTAGGGCCGAGCTGGTGCGCATTCCCTATGAGAGGAAGCTGTCTAGGCCCAGGGATATTGGTAACACCATGCCTGCGGTTACGGTAGATGGTGATGGCTATCCATGCCGCAAACAGGAAGACAATATTTGTGAGATTGACCAGCGCCATCGTGTCGGCGAATTTCTTTTTGCTTTTTAGGTCTCAAATATGGCTTTCTCGGCTTTATTATCTATCCCACTACCGCATATAACGGGATCGTGTGTTCCCCATGGGGTTGACCGGAAACCCCTTTCTTACCCCGCGTAGTTTTTTATTTTCCCCCACATACGAAAATTGACGGAATGTTTGGCTAGCTCCGTGATCCCAACGTTGCCACTACAATGCCAAGTGCGCAATTTGGTTCCGGCTATCTTTACTTGCCAAGTAGTCTGGCCGTTTGACATAAGTAGATAGGAGGAACTATACTGGTTTACTCAGTATGACATTCCTTGTACAATAAATACTATAGATTGTTTTGTTCTATAAAAGTAAAACTTGTTATATGTAGACTTATACTGTAGACAGGATGCAGCGAGAAGGACAGTCCATGTCTCAGTTGCTCACGGCTGTTTACCAACTCTGATTCTCTCCACGCAATCAGCATCAAACAATGGATGTAAGATCGAATTCAATTCCTTATCTGATGCATTTTTGATGAATTCTGCGTCATGAGCCATAACAATATGCATGCCGTAATCGTTGACCGCCTCTCGTAGTCTGGCGATGGTAGCCTCCGCGGCGTGGAGATTTTCATGAAGGCATACCCGCAATCCTTCTGGCTCTTTAGTGACAGCTATGTCTCGGGTGCCATCAAATATGCTTCTACTGCAGGTTAAAACTCCGGTCTCTGGATAGAGACGGAGGGGAGCCGACTCACTTTGCGTGACAACAGTCGCTGGCCAGGATGACATGTTCCCCCGACTCCAGCCGTGCACATGCAGCTAGATTCCCCGCCATATGCCCTGGCGCTTGTATTATCCAAAAGCTGCCGTCGCCCAGAAGATCCATGCAACACTCAAAAGGCCCCCATGGCTTCCACGGCCCGTCAAACTCTTCAAACCTATCCGTCACAGTGTTCTCATCCCCGAAGAAACGGGAATCCCATTGAACCATCGGCTGAGTTTTACCATTTTGGATATGCCCGGGGGAGCAGTGTGAGGCGGTCCCTGGGCCAAAAAATACTTTTGCGTTTGGAAACTCGCCTTTCAAAGGTCGACAATGATCCCAGTGTGCGTGGCTGTTGATAGGATTGACGTCAGTATTCAATGATGCTTTAACTCATGTGCATAAATCTATTGAGCCACAGGAAGTAGAGTACCTGAAAATCACGATATCGATGGAGTTCCTGTGCACTCCGATGTCGTCGAGTTGGTCAACAACAGAACGACGTGGCCCGACAGGATTGCAGCTGGGCCAGTGGTAATTCAAGACGAACGGCGTATACAAGCTACTATCCTATATAAAGTGAGAAACTTTTTTTCTTCAGGTGGCAAAATGACCGACATTACTGATTCCTAGATCCCATAAGAGCTTTCGCCCAGAAGCTCTATGGTGGATATAAAAACACCAGTTGTAGAGATAATAAGGCCGGTCGTGTCCGTCGGCATAAATTCGCCAATCATCAGTGGTCGTAAAGCCGCCTCCGTCAAGAAGCACGACATCGACTGACCCGTAGGCTTCTGGCAAGGCTTTAACTGGCGACATATTGAAACTTGAGTGGTATAGGTCTACGATAGGTTTGAGACATTTTGAGAGGGGTTGGCTGTTTTATATTACCCCATATTTACTACTCACCCCATACTTTTGTTTATTGCATAAAGTAAATCCCCTAAATTAAGTGTTGTAAATAGTGTACTAAATACTAAATCTTATAAAAGAAATTAAAATACTTAAGTCTATACTAATATTAATTTAAGTTTTTATAAAATGCTACTTTAGCCTTTTAATACATCATTTCGAAATGTGTTCATTCAATTAACAGGCCAATTTAATAAGATTTTACCGCATCACAACAAAGTCACCTGGAGGACAAGGTAAATAAAATATAGTAATTATCCTAGTCTGCCTATCAAGAACTACATACCACTATTTAGTAAACAAGGTCTATACTTAACTTTCAGTATCCAGCCTCATCTTGACAAGAAGATTATGCTGGCTCCAGTAGCGTCTGTAACACTTTCCATAGAAATACATAGGAATAGTAAGAAGAGTGAGAAAAGCAGTAATACCAGCAATGACATCAAAAAGGTGAGCAGGTCCGCTAGTCATATACCATTCGACGATGAAATTGACAAGCCTAGAGGGAGTCAGAAAAAGCATAGGTAAAAGAGCACTATCACTTACCCATAGAAGAAGAAGTTCTTGAATGTGATGTTTAGAATAAAAATCTCGACTGCATGTGCGGGTTGTGCGTCCAGTGCATAAGTCATGGTTACAGCCGCCACGAAGCTCATACCAAATAGAGTCATGCCCCAAATCGCAGCGATGCCGTAGATGGATGATTGAGCCTCGATTGAGTGACCAAACCCAACTAGACCCGCGACTGCAAATACGCCACCAATGACTGCAAGGACAAGCCTGAACTCAGGCTCGTACACGCCCTGGTTTTTCTTCGTCATGTATTTGATCAATGGGTCGGAAGCCAGTGCCAACAAGACCATTGCAACTGCTCCACCTACCAGTGGTCCTACAGACACGTACCCAATGGAGGCTGCGTCAAAGTTCCAAGGGGGTACGGAAAACATGACTCCTGCGAGAACTGACATGGCGACAAACCAAGCCATGACAAGTCCTGAGACCAAAACGTTGTAGGTGGCAATGACATTGAGGGCAATAGCGAGACTAGCAAGCATCATCGAGAATAGAGACTTATGGGTGAAAACTCCATTATAGAGAGCAAGTTGGCTTGTGAATGACTTTGCCTCGGGAACCTGAGTGCCTTCAGCCCATTGAGCGCCTGTAGGAGACAATGTCTTATCATCGGTCACCTCGACATGACCTGATTCAGGCTTGTCATTCGAAATGTCTTGCTCGTGCACGGAGGTAGCCCGATCGATGTTCAGAATCGGCGATCGAATGTAAACAGTTTCTGGAACGAACAGAAAGACCAGGATAGTCTGTAAAGCCACGAAGGGTAGCAGAATATGGAAGTTATATGGCCATCCCAGGTTGGAAGTGATGACACCAGCTAGAACGCTGACGCCGTTGCTCAAGCTGCTCAAGAAGAAAATGACAATGGCAACGAGAAGACCTCTCTGGTGCACAAAGTATATATCGTTCACAACAGATGTGCAAAGCGACTCGTAGGCTGAGCCGCCTACACCTTGCAGCAATCGGCCGGCAACAAGAGTTTCGTAGTTGTGGGCAAACTCAGCGACAATGCAACCGACCAAACCGATGACAGAAGAGACGACAAAGACGGGACGCTTGCCATACTTTCGTGCAAACGCGGAGGCAATGGGTGAGACAGCTCCTACAGCCAGCAGTAGGTATCCGTTCAGTTTGGCAATATCGGAATATGATCGTTGGAAGTCCATCGAGACCTGAACTATGCCGGCGTTGAGCATGGGGGCCTGTTGACGGTAATGATGAGTCAACGATATTAACAACTACTATGGTAACAATGACTTACCGGAATAACACAAATAAAGGCAGTCCCCATGAGAATGACGGAGAACACTACGGCCTTCTTTATGGATGGCCAATTCAACGGGTCGTTTGGATCCTCGGAAGGCTGCGGGACGAGAACTATGTGAGAGTTTCTGCCCGACCCACGCTTCAGGTTGCTGCTACCTTCTGCATGTGAGCCTGCTGCCCTTTGGTCGAGTGTGATGGTGCCGGGAGCATGTTGCCCATCACTAGGTTCTCTGATACCTAAGCCCATCTTGAATGATAACGTTGCCGATGGAGAGGCAAATAACTTTGGATTCAGGAAGGCAGAGAGAAGAATGAGAAGAATGAGGCTCGTTACAGCTCAGTTTGTCGCTGAACTAACTGCCTATTTATGCTCGAAAGGCCGACGAAGATTGCCCTTCTTGTACCTCTGGCCAGGGATCAGACCTACCTCAGCCGACCGGTCTAGACCCTAGGATTCCAGCAATCTGGGGTTATCTCCAGTAGTCTGGGGCAGTCTGGGGTTGTGGGGAACGCGATCCAAGGCGTCAATCTAGTCTAGCCTCCTACGTATTAGATGCACTTCCCCTGTGAGTGATACAGAGATCAATGGTCGAGTACCACGAATAGCCTATGTATTGTCAAAGCCAAAGGTGTTGTCAAGCGTGCCGTAGCCCGTCTGGGTCGAGACAGCTGTTATCAAGCAACGACAAGGAGTAAATCACAGTAGAAGCAAGCATAACAATCTTTGATTCAATATGCAGACACTAGCTTAGCATCGCGCGCAACACCTCTGGTTATTTTCTTCATGTTCGCCAGCTGGCTAAGTTGAACTTACTTGTTAGCTCTTCTATCCTTCTGTAGCGTACGCCACTGACTTGGACTTTCAGGTCATAGATGTATAGCGTTTGTGGGGTAACAAAGACACTACCCCACATGATGTGGTGTAAACATGGAGTCGATGGTGATCGAGGGCAGTATTGTGGATTATGTGAATAGACGATTAATTTCGCGCTGTAAAGAAGCTTCGTGTTTGCTCGGCTATTGTCCAATCGTCGGTCAATATATCATTCTACCGGAAATAGACTTGTACAGTAGAGTGACCATGACTTGCGCTAAGTCTGCTTCAACATCTCTTTGAATGTGGGGTAGAAATTCTGACCTTGATTGACATTCTAAAGCTGTACTCAATCTAGACCAACCAATACAGTGTCCTCTAGCCATGGTTCTGAAATTGAACGTTCTATACATTGTAGTAATAGAGTAATCCAATCTTGGTCATACTTTGAGCCTTTAGTAATCTAGATGAGGAATGAAGTGATCAGGCCCAGCATGAAGGCGGACGCGATATAAGTCTCCCTGTCTAATGCTGTCTTCCTCCTTCTGATAATCTTCGACATGTTTAGCTGCATCGAGGTACCGCCCAGACATGAAGTCAAGCTTCCCACTCGCTATAACCGTCACCAACCCGGCAGGGAGCTCTGGCGTATCCGGTGTGACATCTTGCAGGATGTTGACTGCGTTTTGAGCAGACTGATCTTCGTATTCAACGCCTTTGGACAAGTAACTATCGCTATGTGACTTGCCATCCACGCGATCCTTGAAGTCGGTAAAGAAACGTGTTCTGACACATCCTGGATTGAATGCAAAGCATTTAATGTTGTGTTCCTTGAAGTTTTCGTGATGTATAATCTCGCAGAGACGAACGAGACCAAGCTTTCCAACGATATAGCTACCCATACCATAATTGGCATGAGCCCCAGAACTGGACGTGAAGATGATGCGACCTTCTCCTTGACGTTGCATAATCGGTAAGATAGCACGGCTGAAGTTGAAACCGCCTTGTAGCGAGACAGCCACAGTGTCCCACCAGATGGATGGGTCACTCTGCGCAGTCGGGAGCCATTGGGGGGGCCGCCCAGCATTCATCAGAAGAACATGGAGGCCGTTGAACTCAGTGTCGGCTTCTCTGATAAAGTTTTCGACCTGTTGGTAATTGGTAACATTGAACGCGGCCACCTTAATGAGGAGATTTGGGTTGATCTCTCGGCATAAGTCTGCTGTTTCTTTGACCTCGTCGAGTTCGAGGGCCATTAGGCTAAGCGACCTGACACTGGCATGCGTCATGAATAGTGCGCATGCTCGACCGATTCCACGTCCCGCGCCTGCAAGGACGACATTTCTTCCTTCTAGGGATTTGGATAGTTCTGGGTTCTGCCGGGGATCTGAAGCAAAGTAGCAATCATGCTCTTGCCCGAGGAGTGTTTGTTGTGACATGTTGTCGCAGATTATTGAGCTATTGTCAGCTGAATAAATAAGGGATTGTAAAATTTCTTGTAGAAATGCCTTCGTGAATAAGTAGTAAGAGGTAATGCTATACTTATATTGCCTTACTACTAACTGTAATAATACTACCTTGAGATAGAGTAACCTGTTTTATGTGGGGTAGAGGAACAATAGTAGCCTTTTAAACTATTTCTTTATATTTAATTAAATTACACTTGATTAACTTACTTTAAATTTATTATACTCTTATTGTATTATATATATATTAAATATAAGTATATCTTATAATTATAAGAATATATATATTAGTTTATAGATTTAATTTTTAATAAACTTTATTTAAAAACTTATAGTATAAAGTTTTTTAAAATAAAAAAGCTTAAAATATAAACTTATATAAGTAATACTTATTTTAAATAGTTAATATATATTTAATAGTAATAATAATTATATTATTATTAAAATATTTTAATTTTACTTTTACTTTTTTTATTTTTAAATTTTTATTTCCTATTAATTTATTATTAAATCTTCTTCTATTTAGGTTTTTTAATTAAGATTTAACTTTAATTTCTATAATTATTATAATTTTAATAAATAAGTTTTATAGTGCTTTATAAGCAGATATTTAAAGTAAAATGCCTAGCTAAATACTATACTCTTAACTGTACCTGGCACTGTGTATCAACCTGCTTAACTAGCCAGAAGTTTTCATGTCTTTGCTTGCATGCATTAACTATAGAAAAGTCAAAAGTCCTTACCAGGACCGGGATAAGCTTGTTTATCTCCAGTAGGCTGATATTCTTTCCAATGCACGTGCGAGAACCAGCGCCAAACTAAGTTAGATACACATTAGCTGGAATCCGAGGAAAATAAGTTGATGAGGATTGATACATACAGGCATCCAGCTGGCCTCCATCAAGGAAAGCTTTTCTTTACTTTGATTCAGCCACCGCTCAGGCATAAATGTATCTGCGTCGACGCCAAAGACATCTTGGTTGCGGTGCATAACCCAGGTGTTAACGCCCACAATGGTCTGTCAGTCGTAAATTAGTCCCCATATGTAGTCAGACACCCGAGAAGCAGGTAAACATACGCCAGCTGGAAAGTATGTTCCACTCAAAACGACACCGCCCCGGGGGACGACACGCTCCAACGGCAAGCCGGTTGCTGGGTGTAGTCTCAGTGCCTCTTTGATACACGCTTGTAGATACTTCATTGACTGTGTCTCATTGAATGGGATGAAATCCGGCTCGCCAAGGTCTTTATATTTGGCGTCGATCTCATGCCGCAGCTGTTGGTGGATATAATTAATGAAAGGTCCGGGATAAGATGAGAACACTCGCCTTTTGATACACAGCCGGACGTTCTGCCAGGTTCTGCATGATGGCACAAAGCGAAATGGATGTCGTGTCAGAACCGGCTCCGATGTTTGTGATGCATGTGGTAAAGATAGCAGCATCCGGGAATCTCTCAGGATTCTCGTTATGTAGGTGAAAAAGCTTTGATAAAAAGTCTTTTTTCTGCGACTTCTCTGCAGGGTCACCCACTTTCAGTGCCTGCTTGCGTTGATTGATTTGTTCACCAGTGAACTGTGCGACGTAAGCTAGACCTCTTGTAGGCAATTTAGACATAATCCAAAACAAAGTTTCATGCCACTCGTGCTCGACGCCTACAACTGCGCAGTATTTGAGATACTCATGAAGGCTAGCAAACATGCCGCCCTTATCGGCTCCAGAGTCGAGGAAGCCGAACCTTTTATCGAGCTAAATAAAGATTCTAGCAAATTATCGCAATTATATGTTATGGAACTTACCGTAATCTGGCTAATGACATCGAATGCGTAACATTGCATCCAAAACTGTAGGTTCATATTCATGCCCGAGTGAGCTAGTGACTCGAGCTTTTGTTTGTATGTCTTGATGCAGTCCTCGACTTCTGGCTCCATGTTCCGAAGCGTTGACGTCGAGTATAGATTTGCCACCAGTCTTCGATTAGTTGCATGGCGGGCATCGTCAAGGTCGGTAAATAAGTCCTTGAAAGGAGCATGTGGGACACTTGACGCATTATACCAAGAAGACTATGCACAGAAGTTATTAGCATGCTGAGAGATGAGGAGTTCTAATACAAGATATTCCTCTAAATTTCCACCATCTGCTCTTACCTTGGAAAAACCCTTTCCAATGCCATATATTTGTTTTAAAACACTTGGGTCGCTAAAACTGTATTGCTTCGGCGCAAGTCGCACTACCGGACCTATGGGACTGGTCAAATCAAATAATAAACATAAAAGGTAGGAGTTCGTCATAACTACCGTATTTTCTATGAAGCTCAATATTGATGTAATGGAATTGGCCAGTGCTGACGGCACGCAAGTACCACAGCCTCGAAAGCCGCGCGGCGAAAGGGCCTGGAACCCTACGAAGAGAGGACCTGGTTGATTCAGAAATGAAAGGAGCGATGAACAAGTAGATAGCTCCTACAGCCACGCAGAGCAGTAAGGCTGGGATAATCGGTAGGCTACTCATCATCTTGCAGTTGCAGTTGCGGTTGGTTGGAGTATAGTTCACTGATAGTTGAACGACTTGTGTAATAAATCTTCTGACTACTAGGTCACTCTGAATGTCCTATTTTAAACAGTGGCATTTATGTTGCCATGAGAACAAAGCGCAAACTTACCCCATAAACTCAATCTTGGCAATCCTAACTAACTGGTATGACCTATGCGGTTACGTCGCATATACCCCACAAAAGCCCATACAAGGCATCAGCCCCTTAGTAGTCACTGACTAATTCAAGGGGGTCTACCTCCAGTCCTCCACATTGCCAATAACTCCCCCACATACAGAATTCACTATTTTCTGCACCGGGCAATTAAAAGAGCACCAAACTTAAGCTACAGACAGTCTGATCGGGCTGGAATAAATGGATGCTATATGTTTGTGTCCTACGTACTCTATAGGTAGCTCGGCAAATTCGGCTTGGGAGAGCCAATTGCGTACTAGCGCCAGATAAGACAAACGCCATTCACTGGCCAGTTCCTCCCCTCCCTGGACGACACACCGTCCATCGCCAATTGATGTCATATCTTATCAGGCTCTTAAATCCTCACTCAATTCATCTTATCATTTAACAAGCCACAGTAGGTTGAGCTTCGTCAACATTTAGACTAGCCTGTCTTGAAGCCACGAGGAGCTGCCGTGTAAGCCGAGATAAGATATCTTTACAGGGTAGGTATTGAGCAATTTACGACAACTGGTTCGATCTTGCACCCACCACGGTTGTTATATCTATATTTAGAGCTTGACAAGCTTTTGCCAAGACACTTCCCCATGGGCAATTTTATCACTTACCCAAGGCTTGTAGAAGCTATATGGTTGGGATTCGATGACAAAATAGCTGAGCTTGATAGTGTCAAGGTCTTGTCACAAAAGTCAAGTAATTTTTTGACGCGATGTTAAGCCTTGGTCTAAATGAATCAGCCTGACGGTTCTTCCGACTTGAGATCGAATACGCGGTCGCCAACCAAAATGCTGCGATAACCTTGTTCTAGCTGCGAAGCTTTACCTGGCACACAAGCGCGGCAACTCGGCACAAATCCACGTTGCGTTCTTTGGGCGATACTTATCGACAATCTTGATCGTTTTCGATTTACGTAAATTCTCACTATCAAGCCGTCAGATCCCCTTGATAATACGGAGTAAGTCTGATCAACATGCTCAAGTTGCCAAATCGGAACCAGAATAAATACTCGTTGAAGACGCCATTGTATGTATCGGCTTAGGACACCAAAGGCTATTCCCGGTACTCGAAGACTCTCCAATCGACCTCTGTCCGAGTCAGATAATCGTGTTCACTTTGTCCGCAGTACAGTGCTTGATACCGTGAGCGATGGCAACAACCACGGCCTCGGCTGCTGCAGCAGCATCGTCCGTCGTCTGGTGGACACCCGACCCCAAAGCCGGTGTTGGAAGTGGTAAGTGGTTGAACACTGCATCCAAGCTGAGAAGCATCCCTCGTTCATGGCTGACGTAACGTAGGTGATAACGCCTGGCAACTTACAGCCGCTTCTCTCGTAGCGCTGCAATCGATCCCCGGTCTCTTGGTCCTTTATGCAGGAATTATGAAACGAAAATGGGCCATCAACAGCGCTTTCATGGCCCTATACGCATTTGCCTCGGTGCTGCTTTGCTGGGTTCTCTGGGGTTACAAGGCTTCTTTTGGAGAGTACATGCTCCCATTCGTTGCTAAACCCGGGAATGTCCTCGGCATTGACACGATGCTCAAACAATCATACCTCCCCTCCATCGGTGTTGGTCAGCAATTCCCTATGGCCACTATGGTATACTTCCAATTTGTCTTTGCCGCCATTACCTTGGTCATTACTGCTGGAGCTTTCCTCGGTCGAATGAACTTTTACGCCTGGATGATCTATGTTCCTCTTTGGTTAACTCTATGCTACACTGTCGGCGCTTATTCCATCTGGGGAGGAGGCTTCCTCTTCAAGCTCGGAGTCATCGACTATTCTGGAGGATATGTCATCCATCTCTCCTCGGGTACGGCAGGGTTTATCGGTAGCTACTGGATCGGACCACGACTCAGCAGTGATCGTGCAGATGCCAGGCCAAGCAATATTCTGGCAGTTCTTATCGGTGCGGGCATTCTCTGGGTTGGCTGGAACGGCTTCAACGGCGGCGATCCTTACGCAGCTTCTGCCGACGCAGGAGTCGCAGTGTTGAACACGAATCTTTGCACCGCCGTCTCGCTTCTTGTTTGGACAGGTCTGGACATTGCATACTTCAAGAAACCTTCCGTCATTGGAGCTGTTCAGGGAATGATCACTGGCCTTGTTGCCATCACCCCTGCCGCAGGCGTCGTCGCAGGCTGGGGCGCGATTCTTCTTGGAGTTGGTTCCGGCTCCGTTCCGTGGTTTACCATGAATATCCTGGCCAAGAAGATGACCTTTCTTGAGCGCAACTTCGACGACACACTTGGCGTCATGCACACGCACATGGTGGCTGGTGTTGTTGGAGGGTTCGGTACAGGTCTTTGGGCTACTGTGGATGGTTGCGCAGCCTTCGGTCTGACCAATCCTGGAGGAGCCATCGCTGGTAACGGTATGCAGCTTGGATACCAGATGGCAGGGGCATGCTTCATCATCGGCTGGAACCTTGTCTGGACCAGCCTGATCATGCTGTTCATCAAGCACGTGCTGCGAATTCCACTGAGAATGACAGAGGAGCAACTGCTTTTGGGAGATGATGCAGTCCATGGAGAAGATGCTTATGTCCTTGGTCCCTGCGAAGCCCATGCACATAGCACTGGAAGTATACAAGGAAGAGGGGAGTCTCTACATAGTCAGGACCTTGAGCTTGGAGCCAAAGAAAATCACGGAAGTACGACATCAGCAGAGAAGGAAAAGGCAGGGCCAAGTAGGGCACCTAACTATGACTGAAGGAACTTTGAGTATAATAGTCTGGCAAGTCTTAATATACATACACATATTCCTACAACTCAGCATAAAATTGAATCATAGAATGACTAGGAGCATCATCAAGATCTTCAATTATAGATCGCATGGTGCTTCTTACTATGCACGCATGGTAGGCTGGTGCACACTTCATGTCATGCGCGGAAAGCTATCAATGGGCCACAGAGTCTGCACCTCCATGGAAATCAGCGCTATAGAGTCCAAAAGATGTCGTTGCGTCATTCAAAGACGGGAAAACTCTATGGCGAGACTCAAGGATTTGTTCCACTAAGAAGCAGGTTTGGCTTGAGCGTCGGCATTGGCCTGACATTAGCGATTTCCACGATTGCGCCAATCATCTTCTCGGCACACACTCGCTTGCGGATCAGGCCCGAATTAAATAGTTCCATATTTACTCCAGAATTTAGGGTTATTAGATCTGATTATAAATTTTGGTACGAAATTTACTCAAGAGACTTACTAAGCTTGACGGACATGACGGACTTAGCGGATTTAGGTGGCACTTACCATTTAAGGTTATATTCGCATAGCAAAGCGATAATTATATAAGTCTATATTAATTCAGCTCTGTTGTTGTTGATTCACAGCTCTCTTCACAGCACAACTCTACAAAAGACAACCACGACTTCTCCATCTACGAAACAACTCTCAAACACCCATCATGTCTCCCTCTATTCAACAGCTGCCTCTCCTTGGTCCCCTCGTCGGTCTCAGTACCTGGACATTCGCAATGGAAGGCCTGTTGTATTGGCGCCGAACTCCGGCGCTCTCCAAATACGGCGTCTCCTTCGACCCCCAGACTGCTAAGAAGCAGAAAGCAGACAAGCTGCCTGCCTTTGTGCAGTGGCCCGCCGACAACTACAACAACCTGCTTGAGCAACCTACGCAGTTCTACGCCGCTGTGGCAGCCCTCACTCTGCTGAATGTCAAGGACAAGGTCACTGTGCGCTTGGCGTGGACATATGCGGGACTCAGAGTGATTCACAGCCTGATTCACGTCTCATACAACAACCTGCTTCTGCGCTTCCCCACCTTTGCTGCAAGCTCAGTCGTGCTCCTGGGTATGACTGTGAAGGCAGCCCTGGAGCTCTGGTATTAAGTCTGTCAATGATATTTGATCGAAACGCAGTGTCTCGGTGGCATAAAGAAACGTTAGAAAGGGGTACAGACATCGTACTGGCATGAAGCGTCTTGACTTTCGGCCTACATTGCAAGACCTGAGCTGTGTTAGAGACGTGGATCGCGCGACTCAAGCTCCAAATGGTGTGATGTATTTAGGACTTTGGCATCGTCTAGATAAGAGTTCAACTCGTCGAGATTGAGACCACAATGGTGCAGGGGTCATGAGATGTAGAAAAGTATTCAATTCACTACTACTTACTACCAATAAACAATTTGAATCGTCCAATTTTCCGCGAATAAACTTAGGCAGTCAACAGCGGAGACGCGACATACAT